AAAGGGGCCGGAGCCAGTACTCCTATATGAAAGGAGAGCACACCAAACCAAAATGGAAGAACTGGTTCCAAATTTGCAAATAAATCTTAGAACGCCCAAGAACACAAAGACATTTCAGGTGTGTTGGAAAACTGCCTTCTCTCCAGCCAGCAGACTGGGCCCTCCAACACCTGTCCAGTCAACTGACTTGTGAAGAGAGAGCTCAAATGGGCCCAGACAAATCCTCCCTCTTTTGGAGGCTGGGTAGAGTGGGAGTAGCTTGACCTGGGTGTCAGGTGGGTTCATCCTTGTCACTTACTACTAGGGTGACCAACCACTCCAGTTTTAGGATTGAAAGTCTGGTGTCCCAGGGAACTCCTTACTTTGGGGAAGTTAAAATATACTTAGTCTCACCAGTTTTCTTTACTTCTCTGAGCCTTGGTTTACTCTTCAGTGAACAGGACCATCATTCCTACTATGAGGCTGCGAGAATCAGAGTGCAGGGTTTGTTCTCTGAGAGGCTAAGGTTGGGGTCCCAGAAGGACACTCACTCACTGGGGCAGCTCCATCCAGGTCCCCCAGATGGTTTCCACCCTGACTTTTACCTGCCCCTCAACTCCTCTCCAGCTGTCTCCAGTGGGGACTTTGGCTCCAGGGCACATTCCTTGTGGTGGGGTGGGAGGGGGAGACAGGCAGGGAGCTGCCAGGGTACCTGGGTCTGCAGACTGAGGGTGGCCAGGGGCAGAAGCCACTCTGGGTACTGATGTCCCTTCAGTTGTCTGTGTGGCTGTCTTGAGCAAGAGGTACCCAGAATTCTCTGCCTAGTCCTATGGGCAGATGCATGAATGGGTGAAATCTCAGGAGAAATAAAATATGGCTCAAAAACTCACTGAACCATGGGTGCCTTTGCTCCCCTGTCCTTTTGCTCCTTAGTGTCTCTGCTGTATCCTTGAGGATGTGAAGTGGTTCTGTTTCTGAGTGGGTGGGAGGATCCACAGTTCTTGGGACTCTCTTTGTTCCTGGATGATGTGACCTCTGGGTTCTGGAGAATTCTTCCTGGGACTCTGTCCTTTTCAGGCCCCGAGGCTTGGAAGCAGCTGATGGGAGAAGCCGTGTGCTCCTCCCCCACATCACTGGCAGTCACAGTTAACATAGGTCCCCAGGAGACGGGGAGGCAATGAGTCACCTAGGTCCTCCAGGAGGGGTTGAGAGCAGGAAGTGAGGCCAGGACCTGAGCTCTGGGTGCAAGAACTGACGGTGGATAGAGCAGAGCTCAGTATCTTGGTCTTCCCCTGGCCTGGCCTTCTGTGGTCATAGAAAAAACAGAAAAGCTGTGCTGTGGCTGAGTGTCAAACCCTTACCCCCAACTCATTGCTGGACCCTCAGCTCCTCAATGCAGCAGTGTGGGGAGGTACAGCCTCCCAGGAGACACCTGAGTCCTAACAACAGAGGCCTCCTGCAGAGATGAAGGCCTTTCTTATGGGACAGAATTAGTTACCTGGAGAGCAAGTTGCTGGAAAGTGAGACTCCTCCTATTTTCCTGAGCTGAAGCAGCCTGAGACCTCACAGATGTGGCCACCCAACCTGGGACCTTCCGGTCTGCAGAACCGTGACCCAAAATAAGCCTCTTTTGTTTATAAGTCACCCATTCTCATGTATTCTGTTATAGCAACAGAAGACAGACTCAGACAGCTGCCTGGTGTGAGCAAGTTCACAGATTTGCACTGGTGGTGAGTCCAGAAGACTATGCTGGTAGGTGCCCAGGTCATCAGCTTAGAACAGAACAGCAATAAATGCCTGGATAACACCTTGTGCCAATCACTTTAAGTGCTTATATCACTCAATGATAAGCATTTTGCAGATGAGTAAACTGAGGCACATAAAGAGAGGTGTAGCATGCATGTCACCCACTTATGCATGGCTTGTAGAGTGTGCAGCTGGGATTGTCACCCAGAGGTTTGATCTTGGAACCAGGCTTCCCCCATCACACTGGACAGCTGCTGTGCATGGGGGTCTCTGCAGTACATTCGGGGATGGGAGCTAAGTCATACAAGGGTAACCTGGGAGGTAGTGAGCACCCCACTAAGGGAGGTGGCATGGCTGACCTTGCAGCTGGGACAGGAGGAGGGAGGCATGCTGTGCTGGCACCAGCTATTAAGAAACCGGAAAAGGCTGAGAAGGCTCACTCAGCGAGCTCTGTTCTCAGGGTTGCTTTTTTGTTTTTGTTTGGGTTCAAGTGTTTTGCATTTTTTTTGCCATGAAACTTCTATGCTTGGGGAAATTGATGATCTCAATCCCAGTATTGTATTGTATATGGAGACAATTTAGTTTTTCTGGGAAAAGACTAGGGCCCTGAGGCTGTGTTCTAGAAAGAAGCAAGTGTCTTGTGGGTTAGGTGTCAATCTCCTGCAAGACAGGGACCCGAGTCACCGTGGTGCCATAGTGCCAGGTGCTCCAGAAATCCTGGTGAGAATGGTACCTGACACCCAGCAAGTCCCTCAGGCGACTGCTGCTCCAAAGCTTTCATGAACTCCATGATGTTTACAGCCAGCATGAGAAAGAGGAAGGGAGGAAAAAAAGAAAGTGAGGGGGAGCAGCAGGGGAGAAGTACATGCCTAGTCATGTAGGTCTAGCTAGTGTTGCTGAATCAGTTAAGCATGTTCTTTGTTGCAGGACTTCTCAGGGCCTTCAGTGTTCACATGCAGTGTGAATCCTTGGGAGAAGGCTGAAGAAATGCCTCATTTCCCCAACCCATTTGCTTCCCCTCTTCTTTAGTCTTTTCTGAGGAATATTTGGGACCAGTGTTCTCCACATTTGCTTTGGAAATACTACTCTCACCTTCACCTGTCATCTCTGGATCATAAGCTTTCTTCATCACAGCACCTATGCCAGCTCAGGAGAGCTGAGCTTGATTCAGACCGGTGGTGGGGCTTTGGCAGAGTCACTAACCAGGGCCATGATTCTTTGTGCTGAGCTGTTCTCAGAGCTCTATAACCAAGAAACGGATGCCATCAGGACTCCCACAGCTGGAAATGGCAAGAGCTGGGATCCAGGCCTGGGCTCCACTCTTCACTGTGCCTTGGCGAGCAGAAGCTCTGCCACTGGGCACTTGCAGAGCTACGGAGGGGATGTGGTGCAGGTGAAAGTATTTGGAGTTTGCTCCTCTGTTCCAGCCTGAAGAATGCACAGTGCGTACACACATCCACATGCACACATGCACACACACACACACACAAGAAATGGAAATATTGGATTTCAGGACAGGTGACTCTTGGTTTCATACCTGTCTACAGATTTCAAAATGACCCATCACTCTTCTTTCGTGATGGGTCATCATCTTTTCTTTTTTTGATGTTTTCCTGTGCTTGCAGCAACAACAGAAGATGCTGTTACAACACTCCAGGCATTTCTTCTGAGAACTGCACTTAAATAAAACACCATGCACATTTGCTAAAGGAAATAAAATATGGTGGTGGGGAGGGTTGGGCCTGTTGTTACCTTTCTAGAACATTCTGCAGAGACCTATTAACAGTTGGGTGGGAAGGCTCTGGCGTCTTGGATGAGGACTCAAGGTGGCACTAACTGGTGTCACCATCCCTACAGCTCCTCCCTGGGCCATGGCCCTGTCAGCGGCTCCTTCCTCAGGGACCTAAATGTGTGGCTATTTCCTCATCACGTGGGCAGAGGCTGTCCAGATCTTGACTCAAAATTCAGCCCCCCTCTGGCTTTTCCCCAAACCCAGGTCACAGCATGCATTTTATTAACAGTGCGTAAGGCTCTGGAGGAGAGGGCACATTGCACAGGCCATGGTGGGTGTTCCTGAGGAAGACCCCTACATGGGTGTGGTTTTTCCTACAGGACTTTGTGCATCACTGTGGATTGCGGGGTGGTCGCAGGGCAGGGTGAGGCGGCCTTCCAGAACACGCTGGAGACTCAGCTGCTCTGTGTGGCACAGAGGTCTGCCTCCCAGTCCTGCCTGCTCAATGGGGCTGTGGTCAGCTCCTCTCCATCTCCCTCCCCAAGAAGAGAGGGTTGGAAACAAAGCTGCCAACACAGAAACTGAAACTACAGACACCCAGCACTGTCAGGACCCTCTATAGGGAGGAGACCCTACTTCATCTCCACAGCCAGGCAATGCCACAGGGCCTTTCTGATGGCCTCAATCTGAAGGGTATTTCATTTTCAAAATGTATTGCTCTGGAGTAAAATGTCTTCTTTTTTGCTCTCTGCTTACTAAATTCAGCACTGTTGCTTTAGCTCGTTAATGGTGGGCTGGGGGATGAATGTACAGGTCCAACACAGAGTGATGGTATTTGGAGGTGGGGCTCTGGGACACCTTAGAAATCAACCAGTCAAGTGAACCAGGTACAGGATGAGGACTGAGTCCTGGATTTCTTCTAGTACTGCTATCCACAGCACTGGCCTGGGATTATGCATTTGCAGCAGGCAGGCCCTTCTTCTCTGTGCAGTCATTTACTGGCAGAGGGGCAGACTGGCTGATTGTTAAGGGCAGAGAGGCTATGAGTTTACCTAAAAATCAACCCTCCTATGTGCCACCCTGCAGGCCCCAGGAAGGGAAACACAGAAATGCCTTTGTCTCACCTCCAAGAGTCAAACACAGATCCCACTCAGGAACTGAGATGTAGTCATGCCCCAGGAGGGTGTCAGTACTGCTTTGTGCTGACTTTGGAGGCTAGGAAGCTGGAAGACTCCCGAGGAGGCAAGACACCATCTGGCCTCGTGTACAACACAGAGGATACAAAGGCCTAGATGCTGGGCATGGAGATGCATGTCTATAATCCCAGCTACCTGGGAGGCTGAGGCAATAGGATGGCAAGTTCGAGGTCAGCCTGGGCAAGAGATTGAGATCCTGTCTGAAAAAAACCATAAAGTCCCCAAACTCACAAAGACTTGGATAGAATTTTTATTTACCACTTTTGTAGTTATAGACATTTAAATTCTCAACAATAATTTATGATAGTTATGTCTCATATATTCAGCTATTGGAATACCACAAAGACAGAAAATTAAAGTACAAAGAGACTCCAAAATGAGGTTATTGTAATGTATCACAGGAGAATTAAAATTCAAACTATCAAAGACCACACATACTGAAACCAAACACAAAGCAAAGACTTTCCCATGAGTTTATGAGACCAAAATCACAACATTCAGCCACTACCTAAACCAAGGAATCAACAGTGTTTTCAAGGTAAGAAAACAAAAATCACTTCGGTAAGCTATCTTTAAATATTTCTTCCATGTTTGTATCTGGAATGATTGTATATAAACACAAGCACAGCACATATTTGAAAACTGGCTTCACAAAGTTTTTAGTACACGTTTTTCAAACATCTTGAAAGTTAGTTAATGAGAAAAGCAATTCAATCTCTTGAATTTTAAGTTTAAAAAAATTAAAAGTATTTCCAGAGATCTTAAAGCTTTTTCTCCCAAAGTATAAAATGTTGCACGCAAACTCTAGATGTGTGTTTTTCTGAGCTCCTGGCATCAGCACTCCCTCCACACTCTGAGCACACTCGGCATTAGAAGTAGTCAAAGTGCTCACAAGGACCATCCTCCACATGGGTGTGGACGACTGTGACCATGGCCATGTCAGCAACCCCTCCTACTGTGCCTTCAACATCAGACCCCCAGCACACAGCCTGTCACTCCTCAGTTAGTTCTTCCTTGTGGGACACAAGCTCATTCAATAATTCTTTGCCGGCTGCTCCAGCTTTTGAAGCAAAAAGAACTGCTCCCTGTTTAAAACCAAGGCTCTTCAAGCTTCGTGCATAGTCTGCATAGACGGCAGCAGTGAGTTTCTGTAAGACATGGTTAAGGACAAGAAGAGCAGAAAGGGTGGGGAACACGCTCCTCACACGCTCCCAAGGACAGAAGAGCCAGCTCCTCCAGTGCTCGACAGAGACTCGGGGCCCATGGTGAGCAGCACCTGTTTTTTTTGGAGGCAATGTCTTAATCCATACCATCACTGCATTTTGCGCCAGCTGAGCCATTGCCCTCCTTCTAGAAGACCCAACCAACATCCTCCCAGATTCTCCCACCACCTCCTCCCAACTGAGGATAGGCAACAGGATCTGACAGAAGAGAAACTCACCCAACAGCCTCGCTCCATGTGACTGTCTTTGGAAGGCTAGCAGTTTGGGAGCAGTTAGCGCTGATGTCAGCATGACACCGCTCCCCAGTTCTTTCTCCCCCCATTTCTCCCTCTCTCCTGGCCTTGATGAAACAGAGTACGAGTATTTCTCAGCACAATACAACTCCTGTCCAGGCAGCAAACTAAGAGACATTCCAAACTACACTCACATCACTTTCTTCCCTCTCACATAAAGGATATCTGTGTCCTCGTTGACTTCAAATGCACCATATTTGAGACAAGCTTCCACAAATAAGGCCGCTCTATCAAAGTACCTCATGCTGCCCAAGAGAACAAAATAAGAATCAGTCTTCATGATTTATGTCCTGAGTGGTAGAAGCATCCAAGGTTACATTTCCATCTGAAGACATGAATGCAGTTTCCTGGAAACCATCTGCTCTGTGAGTCACACCACTACCTCTCTAAGTCCTAGTGTATAAAAGAAATGACAGGAGAACATACAATATCCCCAACCACAAGCCTGTTACTGATACTTAAGCACACTATCAAATACTTTAAGTCACAGACATCAATAGAGCCATGACAAGGACTATGCAACCACTGTCCAGATTCAACAAAAAGTCTGTCATATTTGCCTCAACCTACCTCCTTTGGTTTTCAATAAATAAATGTTCCATGAGAAGCAATGTGTTCCCCCCTTGAGCTGTTCAGAGGGAACACCCCACCTTGCCATACTTCCTACCCCCTCTGACTCCTCTCAGCTGTTCTGCTCAAAAGTAAACCCTACCCAATTCTCTGCAGATTTCCATATTCCTTAAAAATAAGTGTTTACAAGGTTTGGATAGTTCCTAGACTAAATGAAGAATTAATGGCCATAGACAGCTCTATCGCCCTTTGTGTTTTTAAAAATAAGCCTAAAACGTGCATGTCTCCTTTCACTAGGCATATCGAGTACTACCAACCATCCTCTGGAGCCTGAACAAAGTGATCAATCCTGGGCAAGTCCAAGTGGCCCATGACATATGGGGTGTACCTGTGAAGTGTCTCTGCCACACTGGAAAAGCAGCCCAGAGAAAGAAGGACCAGAAGAGCCTTTGATTTCTGGTTGACTTGTGGAGAACACAAGTGGTCAACCCACCGCTTTAGAACATCAGCACACTCTTCAGAACTTAAACGGACCTGAGAAAGATGCCTATGTTAGAAACAAAAGCATCCTGCACTGCACAAAGAAAAAAGTAATGAAATCAAAGTGAGGTCTGTTCCTAGAAACAAATGCCAGGCTTTGCCTTACTAACACACACTGCCCATGAATGGCAGTGATAACGACCTGTGCCTGCAGGACCCAGGGGCCTGGCAACACCTCTGCAGGCTGGATCAGACCCCAGCAGCAGGAGGAGGCAGCTACTTTCACTTAATTACTACCAATGCAACTCTATTTTCCAATTAAAAAGAAATGTAACTTATACTCAAAGAGTAGGAGGGAGAAAGAGAATTTCAGAAAGTTATTTGTAAAACAGTTTGCAGGCCATGCATCCAAATGACAAGCCAGAGGTTCAAGACTGAGCTCTGTAATCCCAAATGCTCAAACCACCTACTGCAGTCTCCTACCTTTGCAAGCCAGGCTGCTTGATTCCACTCGCCGTAGGTCTGCAGGTAGCGGCAGGCATCTGCAGCCTTGTCTATCAGGCAGAGCAACTGAACGCCCTCTGGAAGACAGAAGAGAAGCCCTGTCATCTGGCACTGCAGCATTCTCTTTGACAAATCATTAAAAAGTAAAATCCCCATTTGACTTCATCTAGTCCTGAGCATTTTACCCAAGGTGAGCATTCCTAACCCCCAAAATGTATACTCAAAGTGCTTTGACTTTTTGAGGACCAATATGATACCACAAGTGGGAAATTCCAATTCATGAAACTTTGTTTCATGCATGAAATTATTAAAAATATTGTATAAAATTACCTTCAGGCTATGCATATAGGCATACATGAACAAGAATTTCATGTTCAGACTTGGATTCTATTCCCAAGATCCCTCATTACATATGTGCAAATATTGCAAAATTTGAAAAAATCCAAAACCTGGAACACTTCTGGTCGTAAGTATTTTGGATAAAGGAAACAACCTGAACCCAATGGAGACATTACTGACTTACAATATACTACTGAAGTAACCAGGGCAGTAAGCACAAACATATCCCCAGAGTAAAGAGGTGAGGCGCAGTCACGCACAGGTTCTGTAGTTCTATTGGCCCAGGGTTCTCCACTTACACCTGTTGTCTTTGCAATTATTAATACTGCCCCCCCTCATGCCTAGAACACGTTCATTCTATAAACAGTTAGCAACACTTTTTCCATTTTACTCAGCGTACATGAAAAGACAGACATGTCCTCAACCCCCGCTCTGCTGAGCAAATGAGCCACAGTGCAATGTGCTTTACCTGCCAACTTGCCATTGGCAATCATGTTAGTTGCCACCAGCTTAATGGTGCTCTGAGAGGGGCCTGAAGAAGTGACAGTGGTGACCAAACAGGCTTTCAGTGAGTCACAATAATAATGCTGGTTATCTGCACTTGTTTCCAACAGCAACTGCACAGCTCTGTCTGTCTAATAAGAGAAACAGTTTTATGATTATGGGAACATCTTCCTCCAACATAACCTTGTGAAATTCATAATATGGAATGCCAAAGTCTACAGCTTAAGGAAGATGCACTTTTTCAAAAAATGCTTCTAAGTAAGTTCTTTTCACCTATAAAAATTAAACAAAAGTTCTCAAAGCCAACATAAAACCTGGCCTGGGGACAGGTGCTGAAGTGACTGCCCACTTCAGCTCTGCACCAACTGATGCAGAGTTAAGAAGCAAAACAAAACAAACAGCTGGTGTTCACTGAACATTATAGAAGCCAAAGTTACAAGCTGGCTAGGCATGTTTATCCTTTCTCACAATGTCTGGTGGTATTATTTTTAAAGAAAGTCTAAATGTACAGGGAAGCAGATACACTGAAGAGGGGGCTCCATATATGTAAAATGTGTGTACATATATGTCTATACATGTGTAGTATAATGATGCTCTGAGATACCAATCAATTAACAAGTCCATAAAGCACAGAAAGGAATACAAAAACTGACGCACTTGACCCAAGAGCAGGAGCTGGTCTGCACACTTCCTGGTGTGAGCGTAAGTTGACCGCTTTACTTCCTGTAGATCAACCCTTTCTAGCTGAAATTTCTAGAGTAGAAAAATAACAAAGAAAGACTGAGGCTGAATTATAAGACTTGCTAATTACTGAAATTTCACTGTACTTTTATAAAGTCATTTTAAGAAACATAATTTTGACTTCTGAGTTTACTAGACAGTAACTTTATGGAAATTCAACAATTTAGTAAGAATTTCAAAAGAAAAAAATGTTGAAATGTATTCTCATTTGTGTGCTTGTTTGCCTGCTCAAGAAGCTGGCACTTGACTACAAATGGATGAAAAACTCCAGTGTGTATTGAAGGATTTTGCTGAAGATTAAATTATGAAGCTACCATTATGTTTTACATAGCAAACTTAAATAAAAAATATTTACTTATAGAAAATTTAAGTGAGAGAATTAAAATGAACTTTCTTAAAAGTTAAGAAATTTAAGACAAAAATTGTGTTTAATATAATGCTTAGAACTCAGGACTTCTCAAGTCCTGAATCTGACCTTTTTTTACACCAATGTGCTAGAAGACTTTTTTTATAATGTGAGCTTTGATTTGACATTTCCCAAGTTTAAGATACTTCAGAGGACACGAATAATCAAGATGGTATCTCTAAAGGCTTTGGCAGGTGCAGAGTAATACCTGGAAATAGGCATTTTCACAGAGGACATCGTAACAGATGTCCAGTGGGTTGCTCAACTTGTCCCGAGGGGTGGCTTCCTTGGTCGCTGTGGTGCTCCCAGACTTGGCCTGGGACAAGCTGTGCAGGTAGTGAGCTGCTACCGTCCAGAAGTGTAGCTCCGACTCATCACCATAAAGCCTGAGAAGGGTGAAACCAAGCTCGCCTCTGCACTCACAGCAAGCTGGGGCCTGGACAGGGCTCCCTAGGTGGCCCTAGTATGGGAACACTGTACCGTCACTTTGAAGTCCATTAGGACATGGGTGTAGGGCCTTGCTGGGATGGGGTAAAGAAGCAAGTTCTCCAACCTTGTTACTGGCTGTCCAGCAAGGCAGGGCCTGACTGCACAGGCCCCTTCAGACCCAACAGCTCTCTGTCATGCTAAGAACAGCTGTCTACCTGGCTTGCCATTAGCACATGATCTGGGCTGCAGCTTCATGGTAGAATAACTGCCTCTGGGGTCACTTGGCTAGATGAGGTGCATGGAGGGAAATGTCTTTTTCATAAGTGACAACTCTGCTGTACAGTAAGAAAGTACAAGCTATTGCTTCTAAAAATAATCAGTACATTTAAATACATGCTGTTTGTATCTGATATTTTAAAGCATATTTTAAAATGCTGCCTGCAAGGGAAAGTCCTTTCACTACAGAAGTGCTAGACTTTGTGTTTAAAATGTAACTTGAAAAAAAAGTTAATTTGATTTTCCCCCTATTTGTATGATACTCTTAAAAATAACTGTTAAGTCAAATCTATAGGAAGAACTCATATTGTTCTACGTATAGAAGAGTTTCATCATACATTTTATAAACCTCACTAAGAGAGAAATGAGCTAACCTGAAATCCTTTATGTCTTACACAGAACCCTTCAAACAGTTACCTGGAAACAAGCAGGCACCTCTGCAAGAGTGTGAATTCTGGATCCAGTAAGAGTTTCTTTATGTCACTGCAGACAGGAATCCAGGCAGAGGTAAGATACATTTTGAATGAAACAATAAAGGAGATAAATCAGTTCACTCTTGAAATGGAATACTCCAGCCAAAGGATATGTTGGAGACAAAGGCAACGTCACTTTGCCATCACCCCAATAACAAAAGCTTAAAGGGCCTTGAGAAGTGGTACCGCCAGGAGGCTGGGGTCTGACTCAGCTCTAGAGGCCTGCAGCAGCTCATCTCATGTTTTTGAAAATATGATCAGTTGCCTAACTATAGGAACAAGGAGGCCACTGTTGGTAAAATTATTTTGCAAATCATCAGGAACAGTTATGCACTTTAGAAAAGATGGCATTCATAATTTATTTTGAAACTATTTCAAAAGTAAAATATTTAAGAAAGAATGGCTAATATTTCTACACCTGATGTTTGTAAAATAATAGCTCAATAAAGAGTATTTTTAAGGTAGGCAGAAGGTATTATTTATGTCTATTTACTTCCCCACTTAAACATAAATGTTAATCTTGGGATACAGAAAATAATAATTATTTTGAATCTGCCATCAAGTGAAACCCTCTATAATATTCAATTTGTTAAATATTATATTATAGGTGGCAGATTCTAGGTTCCAAAAACATACCATATTTTTACCAGGAACTACGTGTGGAACCATAGTTTTCTCCTTTCTTTGTAATATTATCTAATATTTGATTTTAAATGCTCTTGGCTTTAGGGAACATATTAATCTAGTAGTAATTATTCAAACAGAGCACTTGACATGGAACTCAGTTTAGAAGAGGGAAGCAGATACAGAATCACCTGTTTCTCTAGCACATGGTTCCACGGGGGAGGCCTGGTAGAAGCAGCTGGAGTATAAGGACCTCAAACCACTGCTCCTAGTCCTGCCCTGATGTGAGATCAGAGCATCTGGTAGATACGACTTTAGTGAAGGCAAATGCTCTGTCCCTGTAACTATTAAATAGGTCCTTTTTCTCTAAAACAAAGAATCTAAACCTCTGAACAGAGTGGTCTCTCCTTGGGCCATTAACATTTTCTTAAACAAATTATTTTGATTTTGAAAGGTTCAAATTAATGTATATTCCTTTTTTCATACTCATCTTCTAATGCAATACAAAGTGCTTACTTAGACAATGAATTCAACTGCTCTTGAAGGAGAATCTTTATTTCTTCATTTTCTGGATAATCACTGTACAGAAAAGATTTTGAACAAGTTAATTATCTCTTCACTTACAACTACTTATTTCCTTATCAGAGTAAGAGTTGTCTGAATATACAAATAACCTTTTTGCAGCCCTTTGTTAAAAACATGGCTACAGACCAGCACCAACAATGTACTCAGGACCAAACAATCATTTGTATGTCTGCTTTCATCTATTGAATCAAAACAAACAAATGAACAGTGTCTTTGGCTTCCAAGAGACCAGAAAATTTACTAGTAGGCTCTGTAAGCCATCAGGCTTATATTCCTTTCAATAAAGAACCTACAGTGACTAAAGGAACTTGCTCATTCTGCTCGCAGAAGTGCATCTCTTGTGCCACTCGATGTCTTTGCTTTTCTGAGACTATTAAACTAACATGGTCCAACAACCCTGAGGTTGTGTCTGAGGGATGGGGTGTTTTCTGATCACTGGTACTCCCAGGATGCACTATTAAAGTCAGCCCTTGAACGAGGGGCCCCAGAATGGCCATTCGGTTTCTCTAAGTAGCTGGGTCTTAGGCAATAGACACCATATAACATTTGTGAAAATTCCCTCATCCCATGTCTACTGTGCCTTTCACATGGAGCCAATTCAGTAATGTTTGTGGATTTAATTAATGACTGCTGGTAACAGTTTCTGTGACTATACTTTTGCAGTGAGGCAGAGGTATTTATAAACAACACAACAAACTCTGAAGCAGGCCCACTGAAGTGCCTTCTTAGAAGAATTAAGCCTGGGCCCCAAGCCTCCACAGGCTCTCTTTACACTGATCCTTTTCCTTTCTATGAAGCACCATGTTCAGACCTTAAAAAGACCACACAGAAACCTGGGTGCCGTCTGTGCACTCGTAGCTTCCTACTGACCTACACCTCCACAAAGGTCCCACAGCATGGAAATGAGAGGCAGATTAGAGATCATTTTAGTGTCTCTACCTTCTCTTGGACTGATTTTAAGACTTCACTCCTTTTAAGCTCTGGCCACAGTTAATTTTTATGGGTATCCTTCAACACCAAGAAAGATATGAAAGGAAAACAAAAATGAAATAACTTACATGTGAGAAATGTCCAAAGAATACTTCCCATTCCAAGGCTGATGTAACAAGAAGGCTTTGAGGGCAAGGGAAGCTCTTGGAACAAGGAGATATGGGCACCATACAGGCTCTAGACAACAATAAAAATTTTTTATGAAATTAATTTTTATACTAATAACAAAGCTTTAGCTATAGGCCATTTACAGTGAAGTCAGCAGAGAACAATGTGTCAAGCTGGTAAAACTGAGAGAGTATATTCCATGGAGGCCCTACCTGGGAAACAGGTTAAGAGCAGAGATACTCTCTGCCTTCAGGTTCAGTTAATATAGTCTCCTTCTTCCCTTTAAAATTTGAGAATCCTAAGTGCTATAAAACTCTGGTACTACTTGAATAAAAGACTGAAAGAAATGACTCAACAGATACCACTAAAGCTCATCATTTAAAATGATAAAAATACTACATTTACTTGCTCTCTTGTGCTACTCGATGTCTTTGCTTTTCTGAGACTATTAAACTAACATGGCCCAACAACCCTGAGGTTGTGCCTGAGGGATAGGGTGTTCCCTGATCACTGGTACTCCCAGGATGCACTAATGAAGTTGGCCCTTGAATAAGGGGTTATCTTCTTCATTCAGGGCCTTGGTACCCGCCCCTCCATGTCCTGCAGTTTGCTTAGTCAAGACACTAATAAAGAAGAGTTGCCTGTTTTCCAACATGTCCCAGTGCAAAGAGACAGGATCAAAGGCCCCAGTGCCCAGCATCTATACTGAGACACCCTTCATTCTATGAGACTCCTGACCTTTAATCTAGACTTGCACTGCTCAGCCTCACTACCCGTCTAACTCCTGCAGAGCCTTTCTTGTGTCATCTATTCCACAAATATATCAATTATTTAAAACAATCCAAGTCCTCAATGGTGTTGTCTTACCTAAATGATCCACATCAACTTTGGATTGTGCTATCCAACATGACAACACTACTTATACATGGCTACTGAGCACTTGAAAGATGGCTAGTAAAACAAAATGAATGTTTACTTTATTTAAATAAAAATATTGATACTTGAGTCAGTCACTAAATAATTTTTAAGTATGTTTGGAATAACTTGGACAACTGAAAATTTTATAAAATCTTAATATAGCTCAAGTATTTCCATTGAAAATTTGTCCTCTGAATCGAAAGGTAATTAATCTTATTTTGCAAATGTAAAATACCCACTGGACTTAAGACTGAGAACCAAAAAAAGGCAAAAATCTCATTAGTAACTATTAATATTGGTTACACATTAAAATGATAAAATTCTGGATTAAATCTTGATTAAAATTAAATTCATCTCTTTTTTTTTTTACTTCCTTAAACATGGTTACTACACAAGTGGCTTATATTACTATTAAGCATGCTACTTTAGAAAAATTCATTCTATATAGCTATAAAACCTAAATAAGATAAATATTTTATGTAGACTTTTCAACTTAAGAATCAGAAAAATGGTCAGGAATGCTTCTTTCTTCTTTTTCTTACTCTTTTTTTTCCCCAGCAGTAATGGGGTTTGAACTCAGGACTTTGCACTTGCTAGGCAGGTGCTCTGTCACTTAAGCCATGCCTCCAGCACTTCAGTTATCTTTCCAATAGTTTTGTGTTTTTCTGCCCAGGCCAGCCTGGGCCACGATCCTCCTGCTTACACTGCCTGTGTAGCTGGGATGACAGATATACACCACCGTGCCCAGGTTTTATTGGTTGAGATGGAATCTCAAAAACTTTGTCTGGGGCTGGCCTCAAAATGCAATCCTCCCAATCTCTGCCTCCTAAGTGCCTAGCATTTAGGCATGAGCCACCGTGCCCAGCAGGAATTTTCTAATACCACTTTTTTCATACCCAAGATTTTTAATATTGATTCAACAGAATCACTGAAAATGTGGTACACATTCAAAAGTTCTTGGTTATTTCCCAAATACTGCACTAGCTCTATCCTTTTAAAAAATGCCTAGGGCCTCAGGGCTGATGATATAGTAGTGAGCATGCTATAGTAGTGAGCACAAGTCCTGGGTTATGGGAAAAACAAACCCAAGGTGTCATGAAGGCTCCTACCTTCTGCATGTGCTGAACAGGAAAAACACGCTCAGCAGTGGCTGAAGGTGGGGAGTAAGCAAGGATGAGGAGCCTGACGCCATGCCAGGACCACTTAACGCATGTGCATTATATACAAAGACTACACTATACTAGCACATTATTCAGAAAGTCTCGCACTCTTGCATTCCCTTGAGATGCTGTTAAAAAACTTAAGATTTTAAAGACATTTTATATCAAAGCAGACAACTCAGCAACAGGGACTGCAATCTTCCTGACTGGAAAGGAGGTACATCTAAGCTGTTCTAACAAGTGAGTATTTTATGATCTTCCCTACTTGTCATCCAGGAAAACTGAAGAAAGTGTATCAAATACTGATGTGTCAATACATATGGCCTAAAATGATTTTATTTTATCCTAAATCAATAAGCTCATAACATACTTTTAACTTCCCAGAATAGAAACATATTCATCTTTATTTTTAAGACCAAGTCAGCCACATATATGTTGGTAATATACAACCACTGAATGCTAGTCTCAATTTCAAGTTCAGCTTGTAGACTATATCCACAGCTTTATTGACCTTTCCCCATTCTATTTTAAATAGTTCCCCCTTTCTGGTTGAGACTATATCACTGAAGATTAGACAGGAATATTTATTTTTAACATTAGGAAAAAATTTAAAGAAACTATGATCTGGCCACACGGGGTTAATACGAGGGACTCCAATTCTGCAGTCGGTTCAATTTATGAATAAGTTAAAATGGTTTTGGAGCTTTTTAGATTCAAATTTTAAAATAATGGTGAAAGAAAATGTTTTCAAACATTTAGATTGCATTTCCACACTTTTTTACCTAGAATTAGTAACTAAATTAAAAAATACATTTCTCTCAATTTTCTTGGTAACTTTAAGTGTGAATGAGTACTTCTGCTTACCCTTCCCTGGGAGGAGGTCTGGACACCTCTGGAAAACTGGTGAATGACTCACAATCAGATCTGGGAATACAATATCTAACTCTGGCTATATTTGAGGGCAGTCACAGTTACAAAGTAGTAAGTGCTGGTACTCAAATATATTGGGCAAGGTATGACAGTGACAAAAACCAAAGACCACTACAACTAAGTTACGGACAGTCTGATCAACACCAGCAAAAAGTCAGCAGTATCTTGAGAAAGGGCAGGTTTTCAAAACCCTACGGCTCTCAAGGCCAACCACCGAGGGAAACTAACAGCACAGACAACTCCCAGAGTTGAGTCAGTAAATGACTAAATGAGCCTCTGAAGACATTTTCTACAAATCATAGAGCCTGCAGTATGCACTAAAGGTCTGATGAGAGAATACTCAATGTAGGAAGTCTCTGCTCTTTTTTAATTTTGATCAGAATCACTGACTTCCTCCAAAAGTATCTTCCAAAGATGAACAAAAGCTGAATGCTATAAGATAGAAGCTGCTTTTTAAACTGACGGATTGGGACTGGTGGTGTAGCTCAAGTGGTAGAGTTACTGCTTAGCAAGTGTGAGGCCCTAAGTTCAACCCTCTAGTACCTAAAAAAATAAATGAATGGATGTATGCATTTGCAATCTTCCCACTCTTGTTTTTAAAAGTTCGGATATAGCTATTATTCTACAACATTGTTTATTCTGGTAAAAAAAAGTCTCAAAACAAAATTTGAGATATTTTGTTTTGACTGGTTATGTAACAAGTCATAGAAAGGAATGAGAGTACGTGATACTTGGAACACTTTCCAAAATGACTTCTCAACAATATATGGTTACAGAACAGATAAGGCTCATTACTGAAAAGCCAGGAGCCTTTTCACTAGCATCATGATTTCTGCTGAGTTCTAAATTCTGAGTAAGCCACACTTATGAACTTACCATCCTCTACCTTGTTAACAAGTCACTGAGAAGAGGGTTGGAAGGGACACCTCACAACCTGAGCTGGGAACGACCAGGCCTGCCACTACAGTGAGTATAGCATCTTAGCAGTGATAGATAGTGGAGCTCTAAGTTCACATATTTTTGTAAACTCAGATTCTTGGACAGTAAGACTGAAATGAAGCAGCAGTTCTCTAAAGAGTAGCAGTGTTTCAAGGCACCCTTTCATCAGAGCTCTTACCAATTAATTCCTGCTCATCCATCCTGAAACATGTGGACTTCATAGACATCTCCAGGACTCTGATGCACCCATCATCAGATGCCAAGATCACTTTATCTGACGTGCACCAGTCCACATCTAAAATCCGAAAGGTCACGTTTCTTCCACTTCTTAAACTGCTCACCATCTGAACCTGCAAGGATGAATTGACGGAAAAGACGTCAATCATCACAGATGAAATGGTCAAGAAGACAGCGCCTGGGGCAAAGGCCCAGGGCATATTTAGAACCAGACAGCCTTTGCCATCTATCTTCCACATTCAAACTATACTTTAAAGGTCTCAATCACAGTGAAAACAATAAGTCTACCAAGCAATCTGTTGACCTGACACTTTTAGAACAGAAACATTCTACAGGCAGGAATTTAAAAAGAATAAGATACTTTTTAAAATAAGAAGCTTGACATACCTACTTATATAGTTTCATTTCTCAGTCACGAAAGGGGGAAAACAAAACCAGATCCTATGACTGGTGACTTCGTTTATGTCTACCCTATATCCACTGTTATGTCACAGTGCTGGGCCTACCTCTTTAGTGTCCCATACTTCAGCACCATCATTGTACATTGCTATTAACTTCTGGTTTCCTTTGCCAGGGGCAAAACGAATCTTCTTTACCCAACTTCGATGTGTAGGTATTCCTCTGAGGACAAAAACACCACTGTGTTGTAGAGTAGTATCTAGTCACAAGAAACTGTCCAATGTGCCTTCCTACCTCCATTTCTGGTAAGGTCTGATGATGGGAGAACCACTCTACATTCTGGGAAAAGGGCTGGGCCTGCTCTTTAACATCTGCTAGACGAATGTCCCACGCCTTCTGCAGGGGCTACTGTGAATGATCCAGAGCTTGGCTCAAGGACCTTCCTCACAAGTTCAGGTGACAAGGGACCAAGAATCCAAGTCACACTTGGCTATGTTTACTAGTCCTGCTTACAAGTTACAAACTTCCAATGGAACCACATCAATGGTTACTTTTTCTTTTTAGCAAAGATTTCATTCTTTGTTCATACCTGGATACTCTGCCTTTTAAATCCCAAAAATTTAAATTTCCATCCATATCTCCAAGGACCAATGTATCCCCTTTCCAAGCGATACAGGTAATACTACCCATACTTCCCTGCAAAACAACAGCAACAGAAACAAACATAAATTTCACTACTGATAAGCCATCAGGACAGAGAAATGCTTTTATTTAATCATCATGGTGAAATAACAAAGATTTTCTTAATAAAGCTTAATTATAAAGGCTTTTACTTTGGTATAAATGCCACCAAATCCTAAGACATAGACTTTAGACACTAGTAGAGCTACGTGGCATATCAATTTCAACTCTGAAGAAATAGGAGATTTCAGTTTGAGAGACATTAAGTTATCTAAGCTAGATTTATGGAGAAGGGCTGTCTTTTAGGAATAAATACCTTAGAAAGAAAGACATCTAAACTTATCTCTTACCACTAAAGGATAAATAAATGCATTCCAAGAGAGACTCAGTTTCCTAACTAATTATGTAGCAATTTTCCAACTGGAAAAGGTGACCTAGAGCTCTGATATCTTCTGGAAACTTCTGCAGTAATGAAAGTGAAAAGATACTACTTATTAAATAAAAAGACATTTGACAGCGTGAATCCATAGGAGGCTCTACAAAGAAGTTACATATAGAAATGCAACTGTAAGAAAAAAATTCTTTTGTACTGAATCCAAACAATTCAATAGGAGACAAGAACTTGCAGTTCTGGCACACGCCCGCAGTGATGTCAGAGGGAGTTAAGCAGCTGGACTCTGGTCTCAGATACCACTTAAAGTGGTATGGGGTCAGTGGCACATTTATTTAACCTTTTTTGCTCCTTAGATTTATGGTTAGTAGGGTCAGGTAAGCTCATGAAATGTGAGTAACTGATATCCATGTTAATTTGTAAAAGTGAATGCCTTAAAGCAATGCCCACCACACTGTAAGCATTCGATACATGTTAGCTATTAAATAATATTTCTCCCTGATTATTTATTAAAAGAAATCTTGTTTTCACATTGAAAGTACAAAAATTCACACAGCATTTACAGTGCAGAGGAGGAAAGTGCCAATGTTTGATGACTGACCATTAACAGAATGGTACCAACACAAAATAGTGTATAAATTTTAGTGGTAGTCCAGAAACAAAAGAAAAACTGAATTAAGAAATAAGTATTAGAATTAATTCAGTAAAAACTTATGTTAAGCACATTAAATTCTGTATATTCCAAGCAATACTCTCAGATCATCTTTCTATTTTCCCAACCATATCAACAGAATGTTTTAAGAGTTTGCCTTTAAGTTTATTTTCAGTATTGAATATGGTCATATTTTAAATCTTATTTTTTAACTGTAAAAAAATTGGAATATTATAGTTTAAACAAGCCCAGAAATCAATGTTACCAGCTTTGTGCTGCACAGTGATGCATTAATACAACTGTATAGACAATCCAGAACTTTCAACCTAAGAGTTAACAGGATATAAGCTATGTGGAGATAATAAGGTACATACTTGCTTTGTGGCTCTAAGTTAGCCCCAAGAGAACCAAAGCAAAACCAAGCCTCACCAAAGCAAACTGAACTGCTATGCTAGCCACTTGCGAGAAAGGATGCTCAGATGTCAGAGATGAGGCTGGCCCAGGCAGAGGTACTTGCTCCATCATTCATTCCATTTCTAAATAAAGCAACAAACTATAGACACTCGGTAGGCACGTGATTTCAAACATGCCAAGCTTTCTCCTTTCTTTTACCATTTTTATATGTCCTAGTTCTGGGACCAAAGTCAAATGTAAAAAGTCAAAATGACATTTAATACTGTACATTAGGGAATGAGTAAGATAAACACTGGATTAAAACAAACACATAAATCCTCTGCCTACATTCTACATTATAGTCACTAGAAAACATTTTAATTCCAGAAATAATAGATCCAACTATCTGATATAACATACAGATGTAAATCACCTCTCCCTGAAGGTAATTTGCTCTAAAATATGAACTAATTCCACTGAAGGCTGGATCATTACTAAGATGGTCATTCTTTCAGAGTTATGTTCAGGCACAAAATAAGTCTTTGGGAGAACAGAGACTTGCCACACCGAGACCAAAAAATGATGAAGTGCAATTATCATCCTGAAAAAAAGAATGCTCATGTATCTAACATCCACAATTAAAAAATTTTTATTTATAGGGGCAGGTTAGTATTGATGGGAACTAGCATTTCAAAAGTTATCGTTTATAAATTCATTCTGAACTCAAGTATGAAGTAATTAGAGAGCAAAGAGACTGAGCTGTCTGTGTGTGGCACTGGAAGAGTTCACACGAGCCTTCTCTGGGAATCTAAGAGGGGCTTATACAAAGGCTTAGAAAGCAAACCGAAATTTTCCAAAGGATAGCCCACACATTGCACTGGGCTTCCATGGGTGAATTCTAGCATTTACATTTACTTTCCTATTAAAATTATCAAACATCAAACTTCAATATTTCTATCATTATTTTCATCCTTTCAAAATCTCAAAAATGACAATATGATAGGTGGTTAAAAACAGACATTACTAAGTCTCAGGTATGACTTACTCTATGTAAAAGTAAAAATTAAGTTATAATTTGAGAAGCACTCTCACATGTTAGCTTTCATCTTACAAGTAATGAATGGTTTTTTTTTTTTTTTTGGGTGGGGAAAGGAGTATGCCCTCAATTCTTCTACAGTTGTTAATAGGGGAGATTTGGTAGCCAGCCTCTAAGGCAGCCCACTGATTCTTTCAGTACTCATGGCTCTCCCAGCAGTCACCTCCCACAAAGAGTATGGCTATTGTGAGAACCAAGAGTATACTGCAGAAATGAGAGAATGTGACTTCAGAAATAAGGTCATAAAAGACACTGCAGCTTCCTTCTTGTTCTCTCTTGAAACACTGATTCTGGTGGAAGCCAGCTGTCATGTGAGGAGATTCAAACAGCCCCATGGAGAGGTCCCATGAGGAAGAACTGAGGCCTGTTACTAACAGCCAGCATTAGTTTGCAATAGCTGTGTGAATGAGCCATCCTGGAAGCAGATCCACCTGCCTCTCTTAACTTCAGTAACTGCAGCCCCTGCAAGGTCTTAACTGCAACCTCACCAGACCCTGAGTCACCTACACAATCTGGGCAACGGCTTTATATTTGAACATCTCATTTTAAAATGACAATTTTAAACTAATATACATTTTTAAAAATCCCCTCGTGCCTCCAGTTAACAATTATAATAGTCTGTATTAGTTAACACTTTCTTAATCCATCTATTAAAAACAACCCATAAGATGCATACTGACACAAATTATTAACTACAAAAAGTAGAGTTACACAGGTCAAAAAAGGATACCTATGAATCAGTTAAAACTACTATACTTACAACCTGATTCCAATTATCCAAAAATAATTCTAGATTGTAAATCAAATCTTTTGGGGAAATGCATGAAACAGAAATGGGATACTGAAGTCAGACGTGAATTCCAAACACTGCTCTGCTACATTGCTATGCCAGGGAACCCTGGCAAAGCTACTCATTCTCCCTCAGTTCCATTATAGATAAAATGAAGATAATCTTTACGGATTATGATGATGATAAAAATGAGTAGTGCTGGTAAATGTTTAATTAAAATAGTTATGCCATTCTCTTAGCAGTGTGGAATAAGTTCAATCAGTGATAATGTCTCTTTACATAGTAAAATTTACATTACACTGTACTAAAGAAGTTTTTCAACTTAACTATGCCTTCACTGGATATGGGTCAACGAACTCCTTGCTGAGAACTTTTGATGGAGATTTAGTCAAAGGTTAGACTTACATCTGGTGGAATCCGAGCACTGTCTTTCACAGAGTTTCCTTCAACAGTGAGATGATAAACTTGGCCATCATTATCAGTAAATACAAAATGCTCCCGAGCAGAGATGTTCTGACTGAGTTCAGATTTGCTTTCTGCCTCCTGCAACAAACTTTGGGATACAGAAAATAAGATATCTTCCTCACAGAGTGACCCCCAATAATAATTCATCCACAGTACAGACGCACTAGCAAGGAGGTCTAACACCATCTAAAAAAGTTTGAAACTAATCTTGCCCAGCTAATAATGGAAAAATCTAGATCACTCCCAAACAGTCAGATCATGGAAGAAAGTTTACCAGTACAGGGGGAAATAGTGATGTAAACTATTTTTTTGCTGCAGAACTCAACAGAATTGCAGCATTATACTGATCATTGCCTTTGAAGCTCTTTATTTGTAAAATTGGTGTGAATGGGGATGGCACATAAATTCAGAATCTCCAATACATTTCCTTGGATGGTTATGCTACTTTCATTTGAGTTTTAGAAGCTCAAGTTAATGAGACAGAATAGCACTAGATCAATTCACCAACAGATGCTGAGGGGTGGACTACATTGCATGTTATCAACTGCACTAAGCATAAAATAATAAAATTTAACTTTTTAGTAATCTGGGTATACATTAAACTATGAAACCAAGTATTCTCAAAAGTGGAGTCCAAGTTGCTACCACAGATGCTTTTCGATGGCACTTGTCAAGTTCCCAGCCATGATACTGATAGTACAAATGACACTGGGAGGCAACAGCAAACTGTACCTGATCACAGATGACTCAACGATACTCAGCTCTGCATCCGAGACAACAGTCTGGCGGGCCATGGCCTCTCGGGTAGCAAGCTGTTTCTTTCTCAGGCTCTTCAAGTTGTGCGATGGTGACCATTCCTGTGGAGCAAAGACAGACAATCAGCTGGACACACACTCATCATTGCCCAGGACTACCTACTATTACTGCACATGAACTGTTCTTGCTAAACGGTAGGAAAGTTTAATGGCAAACTTCCAAAAGGAAATTCTCAAGCTTTTGTTTTTACAAAATGAAAATACAATAAATTCAACTACAATACTTCCTATTCCCCACCTTGTACCTACCCCTTCTATACACAGGGTGAGAGAATCATGCTCTTTCAATCAGGGCCTGTTAGCAGGCATAGGTCCATCCAAAACTGCTTTTATGTATTTATTCCTTTATACTTCCACCTATGCCGGTGAGTTTAATCTAGTATATTTTCATATGCAAAAGTCTTTAACACAGTTATTTCACATGCATATATTTCTAAGATATCCTCTATTTTATTATGTTTTCTTTTAGAGAGAGAGTCTTGCTATATAGCCCAGGGTGCCTTGAATTCACAACCCTCCTTCCCAGCCTCCCTAGTGCTGGGACTACAGGGATGTGCCACCACACTCAGCTCTCACATGCATGTACTTCTAGTTTGTTTACATAAATAGTATTGCATTGTATACCATCCTGTTCACACTCTTCACTGCTTTTAAGATATTTAAGTCCTTCCCAGTTGTTTCTGCATGCTATATAACACTCCACAGCTGTTCTCTCAGCAAGACATCCAGATTGCTTCCAAAATCCCATGGTGACGAATAACACTGCAGTAACAATCCTTGCTAAAGTTCTTTTACAACCTCAAGCTTGGCAGCTGCAGCAGTGTCTCTGTTTGCCTAGTGATCAGTGCACAGGATTCCCACGCAGATATACCACCCACACTTGATGTTGTCAGGCTTTCCACATTTTGTTAATCTAGATGATAGATCATGGCTCTCTCACTTTGCACTTCTCTAAAAACTGATGAGCTTGAACTTTTTTACATGCTTATTGACCTTTTAGATTTCTCTGCCATTCATTAAATGTTTGCATATTTGTCCATTTTTCCATTGGGGTGCCTGTTTATTCATTGTTGATTTATAGGAATTCCTTGCTAATTTTAGACATTGGAAAATTTCATTTCAGAAAACATCTTTTTGGTCTGTTCCGGGGGCTCAATCTTATATCCTAGCTTCTTGATAGGTGGAGATCGGGAACATGGCAGTTCAAGGCCAGTCTAGACAAAAAGTTCACAAGACCCCATCTCAACTAATGGCTGAATATGATGGTACATGCCTGTCATCCCATCTATGCAGGGAAGTATAAATAGAGAATAGGAATTCAAGTCAGCCCAGACACAAAGCAAAAATAACCAATGCAAAAAAGGGCTAAGGGCACGGCTCAAGTGGTAGAACACCTACTAGCAAGTATGAGGCCCTGAGTTCAATCTCCAGTACCACTAAAAACAAAACAAAACACTCCCACAAAAACCCTAAAATCATCTTCTGTATTTAACTTTGACAACAGTATCCTTGTCAAACAGAAATCATCAATCTTGAAATAATCAAATTCACTATTTTTTCTCCTTGTTTTGAAATTCTGATGTCCTTTTTTGCCTTAGGTCACAAAAGTAACCTTCTGTATTTAGTTTTAAGTAGGAATCCAATGCTTTTGTCACTAAGGTGAGCCAGTTTTCTCAATACTGTGTACTACACAGTCTATCCATCCTCTTTGGTTTGTATGCTGCTTTACTGCTCCTAAATATTCATGGGTCTGTTTCTGAGGTCTGTATTACATCAGTACAGTTTTGGTTATTGTGTCAGCATGGCACTGGTTTTTATTTCCATGGTTTGTAATATGTACTAGGATCAGGTAGCAAGGGTCCCACCCCCACCTACACCTCCCATTAGTGACTCCTCATATTTTCAAAGATGACTTATCCATTTAGGACCTTTCTTCTTTTATAAACGTGTTTAATATGTTACTCAAAATATCCAAATGGAATTTTAACTGGAATTGTACCAATGTAGTATTAACTGACCCATCCAATTTCATAAGAGTTATCTCAAGTTATTTACATTATCTTCCCTGAACACATATTTGTTTAACAAGAAAATATATGGCAGTAATGATGTCAATTCAAGCTACAGAAAAACATCTGCCACAGACATGCACACCTAAATAAACTAATTCTTGAACTTACCAATGCAGTTATTGCAGGAAAATTTTTGGACATTTCTCTAAGAAGGGTACAAGTCCTAACATCCCATAACTCCAGGGGTTTATCCTTAAATACAATTGCCAAATATTGCCTAAAATAAACAACAACAAAAATAAACAAAATTACCAAAAACCCCCTTTTGGTAAGAACTAGTACAAATAAAAAACTAAACTCAGATGGCACATCCTGAGTGCAGGCAATTAAACCAACATGCAGCCCATGACCAAGAGTCACAGAAAGTAAAGCTCTGAGATGACCTTCAGGAGCACATACAGCCGCAACTGAGGCAAGGAGTCCAGTTCAGAAGAGTGGCCTCAATTCAAAATCCTAGTTCCACGACTTACTTAATGCTGTCGAGGCTCACTTTCTCATATCTGACATGGGAATAGTATCACCTATCTCAAAGAAATGGTATGCAGTTATGGTAAAAATTAAACAAGAAGTATCCAGATTTTTATCATTCTGCCACAAATGCCACTCTTTTCACTTTCTGTCAGGACTGGAAATATGAAATAAAGTCAATGGATGCAATTCAACAAATGTGACGCCACAGTAACCACAGCAAGGAACTAAAAACATCATCCACACACAATAGGTGGCATCAAGGAAATGTGACAAAACAAGAAGAGCCCTGGATTCAGTGTACCGAGGGACTTGGATTTTTCCACACAGGACCACTCCTGCCACTTGATAGTTATGGGGCTTCAGATAAGCCATATGACTCCTTTTTGAGTTTTATTATCTTTAAAATGGTGTTAATACCTGTCATACCTAACTCACAAAATACCATATGAATTTAAAAAAAGGACAGCATTCACAAAAGAATTTTATAAGCCATGATAGATTATACACTATGTTATACAGTTCATTATATGTATTATAAAGGCATATATATAAATAACTAATATAAGAACGTAGTAAATACTGTGGAGATTAATTTTGACAACAGGAAAAAGCACTGCAGACAGTTACAAATGTGACAAGTGACAAAAGACAGGAAAGGACAGTGTACTGGGGAACATGGTACCTTCAACACAGGGTATGTGAGAACAATTATGAAAACGACAACTAACTTGAGAATCTTGAAACACTTTAGCACTTCCCATGCATGCTCAGTTAAGCAGGACTTATTCCATAGAAAACAGTGAATCATGCTGAATGTTTTGAAGTAGAACACAACGTGATCAGTTGTTTAGGGATATGAATTTAGCAGGAGTGTACAGAGTTAAGACCAAAAGCAGGAGAGACTAGAGTCTCAAAAGTCCGAGAGATTTCTTAAACTCTTTAGTCTCAAGATTCTTTTGCACACTTAAAAATTACTGCGGACCTCCAAAGAAATTCTGTTCATGCACATTACAGCAAATGCCATTTTTCACGTTAGAGATTAAAGTTAATAAATTAATTCACTTAAAATGAAAAAATAGAAACATAAAATAATTAGCAAGATGGCAGATTTAAACCTAGCCTTACTGATAATCACACTAAATACAAATAATTTAAACACTATAATGAGAAAGCTGAGAATGTCAGATCAGTCAAACAAGCCCTAATTACATTGCATAAAGAGAACAGGTGATACACGTAGGATGGAAAATACATACCATGTAAATACTAACCAAAAGAAAGAGTGGTATACTAAAAGCAGGCGAATCTTTTCAAACAAAGAATAATATCAAAGAGAAAGAGGATCTTTCTCAATAATAAAGAAGTTAATTAATCAAAAGGACTTAACAGTGGGTGCCAGTGGCTTAAGCCAGTAATCCTACTTGGGAGGCAGAGATCCAGAGGGTTGAGGTTTGAGGACAGCCTGGGAAAATAGTTTAAGAGACCCCCATCTCCAAAATAACCAGAGCAGAATGGACTGGATGTATGGCTCAAGTGGTAGAGCACTTGCTTTGCAAGTGTCAGGCCCTCTGCTCAAACCCCAGTCCTATCAAAAGACAGTAATAATCCTAAATATGTATTTATCAAATTATAGAGCTTCAAAATACCCAAAGGAAAAACTTGAGTTCTTCAAAAGAAAATTAAATGAATCCACAACTAAAACTACAGATTTTAGCTCTCGTCTTCCAGTAAGTCATAGAATAAGCAGGCAGAAAATCAGCAGAAGACTTAACAATCAGAGAAGACTTAACAATACCAATCAACTAGGACTGACCTTTATAGAATTCTGTAACCGACAACAGTAGAAGATAGAACTTTTCACAGTGCACGTGAGACATTCCCTAAGATAGACCATATTCTGGGCCATGTAACAAATCACATTAAAATTTAAATATATAAAATATGTTCTCTGACTACAACAGAAACTAACAAATAACAGAAATGTGTATCTGGAAAAACACTTAAATAGTTTGAAGTTAAAAAATATATCTATAAATATCCTGTGATGGAAATGTTAAAATATTATGAGGTAAAGTAAAATGAAAGCACACCTTATCAAAAATTATAGGCTACTGTCCAAGTTATGGAAACAACCAAGATGCCCCACTATTGATGAACGGATCAAGAAAATGTGGTACATGTACACAATGGAATTTAACTCAGCCATGAAGAAGAATGAAATCTTATCATTTGCAGGTAAATGGATGGAACTAGAGAACATTATTCTGAGCGAGGTCAGCCAAGTTCAGAAGACCAAAAATTGTATGTTCTCCCTCACATGCAGACTTTAGATCTAGGGCAAATGCAGCAATGTGGTTGGACTGGGACCACATGACAAGGGGAGAGAACATATGGGTAATATAGAAATAGGTAGAAAACCCAAAACATGAAAGCATTTGATGTCCCCACTCCAGAGGAGCTAATACAGAAACCTTAAAGCAACAGAAGTTATCATGAGAAGGGGATCAGTAACCAGGGTAAAGATCAGTTAGAGATGAATCAACCTGGGTCATAACACGTGTACACGAAAGCAATGCTCGGAATCTTTCTGTATAGCTACCCTCAACTAGCAAAAACACTTTGTCTTATTATGCTTGTCTCTTTTCTTCAACAAAATTAGTAATAAAGGCAGAACAGGACCTGCCTGGAACTGAGGGGGAAAGGGGGGAGAGGATGGGGGAGGGGTGCAGGGGGGAGAAACAACCCAAACAATGTATGCACATGTGAATAAATGAATTAAAAAATTACAGGCTATTGTGCTAGGCATAATGGCCCATGCCTATAATCCCTACATTCAGGAGACTGAGGCAGGACTGTCGGGCTACAATGGTGAGTTGTGAGGCTAGCCTGGACTGTATAGTGAGACCCTCAAAAAACTATAGACTACAGGGAAAAATGGTGCTTATATAGCATTAAATGTCCAGCATTTACAGTCCTGGAACACAGCAAATATTTCAGCTCTCACTACTTCTATTCAATGCTTAGCAGAGCCCTAGTCAGTGCAACCAAGCAAGAAATAAAAGGCCTACAGACTGGGAAAAAAGATGTAAAGTGTTTTTATTAGCAAATGATAAAGTTTGTACAAAATCCTGAGGAATCAACAAAGATACTACTAGAACTAATAACTAAGGTTGGCATGATGTCAAAGTTAGTATCAAAAAATTAACTATTTCAGTATAAAATAATAACTAGAAACTGAAATTTAAAAAATTCCCTTTATAGTAGCATCAAAGAAAACACAAAAATTTTTAAAATGATATGTTGAGACAAATACACTGAAAACTACGAAATACTGTTGAAAGAAATCAGGTGCCAGTGACTCATGCTGGTAATCTTAACTACTTGGGAGAATGAGATAGGAGGATTGCAGTTCGAGGCCAGTCCAGGCAAAAAGTTTCTAAGACCCCATCTTAACCAACAGCTGTGCACAGTGGTACAAGCCTGGCATTCTAATCTGAGGCTGCAATGGGGAGGATGGGGTGGTAGGGGGGATCCGGGGCTCTCTTGCTGTCAGGGATAGTGGTGAGTACCGGGTTTCCATGCTCTGTGGGGAGAGAGGCCTCCTGGCACCACCAAAGTAGCAAAGCCTGGAGCCTGGGATTCACTTAGTATGTGGTGGCAGGCTCCTGGCACTGAGTAGCAAGTTGAGGGATTTTAATCACCTGTTATCTTACCCTTGACTCAATTACAGTGCTATGACTGGCTTAGTCATTAGCAAGGTTGATGTGCTATTTCCATTTCCCGCCTAGATGGTATAAATTAGCAATAACAAATTCACTGAGTCAATGCCAGACCAGTTATTTACACAATATGTAGTGAGCCCCTTGGTGACATTATCTAAATTCAATCAGAAGAGACAATGAAAGTCACCTCATATTAATGAAAGGAACAATTCATCAAGAGGAAATATCAATCCTTAATGTATATGCACCAAACACAGAGGCATCAAATCTACCCATCTACATCAAAAAAACTCTACTGGCCATAAGAGCACAGACAGACACTAACACAGTGATAGTGGGAGACCCGAATACCACTGTCACCAATAGATAGGTCATCTAGACAAAAGATTAACAAAGAAACTTCAGAGCTACTCCATGCATTGGACCAAATAGACATGGTTGATATCTACAAAGTATTTCACTCAACAATCAGGCAATACACATTCTTTTCTGCAGTTCATGGAACTTTCTCCAAAATAGAAGATCATAGTCTAGGACACAAAGCAAGTCTCAACAAATTCAAGAAAATCAAAATAACCTCCTGCATATATCAGGATAAAATAAATAAAACTAGACTTCAACAACAAAAGAAACACCAGAAAATATTCAAACACATGGAGACTGAACAACATACTTTTCACCCATTGAAAAGTCAATGGGTGACCAAAGTAATAAGGGAAGGAATCAAAAAGTTTCTAGAATCCAATGAAAATGAAAATACAACCTACCAGAATCTGTGGGACACAGCAAAGGCCATGCTAAGGGGAAAGTTTATAGCCATAAGTGCCTATATTAAAAAAACAGAGACCTCTCAAATAAACAATCTAATCATGCACCTTAAGCTCCTAGAAAAACAAGAACAAACCAAATCCAAAACCAGCAGAGAGAAGTAACAAAGATCAGGACTGAGATAAATGAAATTGAAACCAAACAAACTATACAAAAAAAAAAAAATCAATGGAACAGAAAGTTGGTTCTTTGAAAAGATTAACAAGATCAACAAACCCTGAACTGACATGACAAAATAGAGGAGGGAGAACACCCAAATTAATAAAACCAGAGATAAAAAAGGGGACATAACTACAAATACTAACAAAATCCAGAGACTCTTTAGAGAGTACTTTGAAAACTTATATTCAAGTAAACTGGAAAATCTAGATGAAACAGATAAATTCCTAGACACATGCAACCAACCAAAATCAAACCAAGAAGATATTAACCACCTAAATAGTCCTATTACATGCAATAAAATTGAAACAGTAATAAAGAGTCTCCATACAAAGAAGAACTAATACCAATACTCCTCAGACTTTTCCGGGAAATAGAAAGGGAAAGAACACTACCAGACTCATTCTATGAAGCCAGCATCAGACTCATTCTGAAATCTAATAAAGACATAACCAGAAAAGAGAATTATAGATCATTACCGTTAATGAATATAGGTGCAAAGATTCTCAAAAAAATACTGGCAAACAGAATTCAATGACACGTCAAAAAGATTATACACCATGACCAAGTCAGTTTCATTGCAGGGATGCAAGGATGGTTCAACATACGTAAATCCATAAATGTAAAACAGTACATAAACAGATGCAAGGACAAAAAACACACGATCCTCTCAATAGATCCAGAAAAGCCTTTAACAAAATCCAACACCCTTTCAGGATATAAGCTCTGAAGAAACTAGGAATAGAAAGAATGTTCCTCAACATAATAAAGGCTATATGTAATAAACCTAGAGCCAACATTATACTAAAGAGAAAACAACTAAAACTGTCCACTTTCCTCACTCCTATTCAATACACTTTGGGAATTCCTAGCCAGAGCAATAAGACAAGAACAAGAAATAAAAGGGATTCAAAAAGGGAAGAAAGAAGTCAAACTATTCCTAATTGCAGATGACATGATCCTATACCTAAGAGACCCCAAAAACTCAACTGAAAAATTACTAGAAATCATAAACTCTTTCAGCAAAGTAGCAGGATACAAAATTAACATACAGAAATCAGTAGCTTTTCTATATACCAACGGTGCACAGAATGAGAAAGAAATCAGGGAAACAATCCCATTTATAATAGCCTCAAAAATGATGAAGTACCTCAGAATAAATTTAACGAAAGAAACGAAAGACCTTTCTAATGAAAACTATAAACCACTGAAGAAAAACATTGAAGAAGACTTCAGAAAATGGAAAGACCTTCCATGCTCATAGATTGGTAGAACCAACATTTTGAAAATGGCCATACTACCAAAAGCAATCTACATGTTCAGTGCAATCCCTATCAAAATTTCAATGACATTCTGCACAGAAATAGAAAAAGCAATCGTGAAGTACATATGGAAACACAAAAGACCTCGAATAGCCAAAGCAATTCTGAGCAAGAAGTCCAATACTGGAGGCATCACAATACCCAACCTCAAACTATACTACAGAGTCCTAACAATAAACAGCGTGGTATTAACACAAAAACAGACAGGAAGACCAATGGATCAGAACAGAAGATCCAGACATAAGCCCATACATCTACAGCCAGCTGATCTTCGACAAAGGAGCCCAAAACACATGATGGAGAAAAGACAGCCTCTTCAACAAATGTTGCTGGGAAAACTGGATTTTCACATGCAAAAGGACTGAAACTAGATCCCTGTCTTTCACCCTGTACCAAAATCAATTCAAAATGGATCAAAGCCTTTAATATAAGGCCTGAAACTTTGAAACAATTTTCCAAGAGGCAGTAGGAAATATACTAGAACAGACAGGTAGAAGGAACTGCTTCCTAAACAGAACTCCAAAGGTTCAGCATCTAAGTGAAACAATGAACAAATGGTACTGCATCAAACTAAAGAGCTTCCGCACAGCAAAAGAAACAATCACCACACTCAAGAGCCAGCCAACAGTATGGGAGAAAATCTTTGCCAGCTATTCATATGACAAGGGACTAATATCCAGAATCTACAGGGAACTCAAAAAACTCAGCCTGCAAAGAATCAATACCCCAGAGAAAAAATGGGCACACAAATTAAATAGGCAATTCTCAAAGGACAAAGTACAAATGGCTAGTAAATACACGAAGAAGTGTTTAACTTCCCTGGTTATAAAAGAGATGTAACTCAAAACAACATTTAGATTTCATCTCATCCCAGTTAGAATGCCCAGAATAAAGGGTAATAACAACAAATGCTGGTGAGGATGTGGCAAAACAGGAACCCTTATACACTGCTGGTGGGAATGCAAATTAGTACAACCACTATGGAAAACAGTATGGAGATTCCTCAAAAAACTAGAGATAGAACTGTCATACGATCCAGTGATACCACTCCTAGGCATCTACACAAAAGAACATAAAACAGGATACAGTAGAGATGCCAGTACACCAATGTTCATTGCAGCACTATTCACAATAGCTAAGCTCTGGAAACAACCCAGATGCCCTACAACTGATGAGTGGATCAAGAAATTGTGGTATACATTCACAATGGAGTATTACTCAGCCAGAAGGAATAACGACATGGTGTTTTAAGGTAAATGGATGCAATTGGAGGACATCATGTTAAGTGAAGTTAGCCAGGATCACAAACACAAAAGACGCACGTTTTCTCTCATACATGGAAGGTAGGTCCAAAGATAAACATATACACAAAAACAAACATGATCATATACAAACTCAGTTGTAGAACATGTTTGTTGACAGTATAACTACACTATGGAACTTGGGGAAAGAGAGAAAGGAAAAGAGAATGATACAGCAACAGTAATATCTCACACCACAAGATGTGAAGGTAGAAGGATGTGTACCAAAAGATATTGAAAAATGGGGGGTGGGAGGTAAAGGGGTAAAGGAGAGTATTCGAAGGTATTGAACAGACCAAAGTAAAGCTCACCCACAGAGGGCATACACTGAGACACCCCTCTGAACGTCAACTCAAATATTAATTACAAAAACGAGGACTTAAAATAGACACAGTATGTATGTGTTGGGGGGTACTAGTGGGAGGAGGAGGGTGAAGGAAGGAGATTAAGGTGACAGTATATGGTTGATGGACTTCATATACCTATATGAAACAGAACTAGAAAACCTCTTGCAATTGCTTTAAGTGTGGGGAGGAGCGGGCTGAGGGGGAGAGACGCTGGGGGCAATGCAACTAATGTACAATATAAGAATATGCGGAATTATCACTATGAACCCTCCCCCCCCCCCCGTATCATGAATATATCCTAACAAAAATTTACTGAAAAAAGAGAAATTCTATGTATATTTTAGCATATTCCCACTACCTTAAAAATTAAAAGTAAGGTAATTATAACACCATAGATTTACACTTACTTCAAGTGAGATACTTTAATCATTTCAATGGGTGATTCATCGTTGCCACGTTCACCACGAAAAGCAATGCTCCTACCTTTGAAGTGTAAATATTAAAGAAAATGTAAAACAGCACATAAAGCATGTGAGAAATAAAAGCCACACCAATGCAATCTGTCCTGTCCCTTTCACTCATCCATTTGCTTCTAAGTTCTTTCTAATAATTACATTTAAAAATACTCCCAAAATACAAGGTATCAATAATATGTTACTTATATTCAAATATCTATTCTATAAAAAGACATTTTCATTTTAGTTTCTTAAATTCTATAATTCAATTTTAGAGATTTAGAAATATCACTTTCTAAATTTTTAAGGTTTCTGCTCACTATAAATATTACTAGTATATTTAAATATAAAACACCTCATGTTTCCAAAAACTAGCCAGTATTTATTGGTATGTGGGAGAAAAATTCTTGAAACAGGTGTTTAGTATTTCTTGTCCCATGTGCAAAACATTAAAATATTTTTAACATATTCCTACCAAAATGTCTTTTTAAACTGAAATTAGAGAACTAAAACTAGAGTGATTATGTATGTTATTCAGGAATCAAAAGAAGCAAAATGGTTTTCTGTGAATAAGAACACGTAAATTCTACCTTTGAACACATGGATGTGAACATTTTTTTCCTAGACTCTTATTTACATTAAACGCAAGGGAGAACATAACCAACTCAAAGACAAGTGGACACTAAGTGTGCCCCGTTGCAGCCAAGTGGAACTAACTAGGGTCACTAACATTCCCCAAACCCCTCTGCCCTGTACTGGCTCTGCTGGTTTACTGCTTTCCTTAGAGGATCTCACTATAAAAGTCTACAAAAGTGAACTTGAAATGTTCCACTTAAGAAAGTCAACAACTATCACGAAAAGCATTTGTTCTTCAAAAACAATCTATGAAAGACAGACTTATCTAACAGTTCTAAAGTTAGACCTACTGGAAAAAAACACACAGGGATATTTTCTCATACTTCATCCTGGGATCTGTGTCACTGGGAGAAGCGGGGCCAGCATGTTAGCAAAGCAGGGATCTGGGGCTCAGGGTGACTGGCAGGTCATTTCCTGAGACTAGAGCGAATCTGGACTAAAGGAGGGGTGAATGAAACAACTGCGTCTTTGAGAGCTTAGAAACACATATCGACAATATGAGAAAAACGGCTGCAAACCGGGTTTGTGACACACATACATGTTATTATTTAAAATCATCTATGTATATTCATTTTACTACATTATTTTAAAGAAACTCACCTAATTTGTTTAAAAAAAAAACCTATCTGAAATCATTGTCTATACAAAAAAAAAAAAACTTTAAAGTCTCACTATCCAAGTCCTTTATTTTGAAACTCACTGGGCTGTATATTTTAAATAATGCTGAGCAAGTTTTATTGGACTATTTTCTATTTTAAAGACTTCAAACTTCCACATGAAGTGTCCCTATCCAGTCAGTCAGCCAATTATCAAAAGTTTAAATGTGAGCATTTAAAAACTATCTTTAACCTATACTGTTTTGAAGGGTTTCCTACAAAGGCCCAAACTTTAAACAGAGAATTTAAAAGTCTAACTCAAAGAGTTATTTTAAAATGGGCTTTTAGATACATGTAAAACACTGTACTTAAAGTAGATGGCATCACTGTTTTTATGAACCCAACTGTTTCACCTAGTGCCATTCCATTTTACCTTGGATACGTGTTAATGGTATTTCCACACAAACAATAAGAAGACTTTTCTAGGGAAATCATTACAGAAGCAAAGAATGGACACAAAAACACAGACTGCAAGAGTAACTCCAAGGTCCAAGGAAGCACTCTGGAACATGTTTTATAAAGAGAGCAGCATCTTCAGTCAATATGACTAACCATTTTCAATCTTTTAATCTAGATTTACAGACCTGTTGGAAGATCAACCAGCTGAAGTTCATTTCTCACTAAACCCATATTGTTTGGTGTTGAGGTAGCAAAAGAAAGAAAACTGGTCAAACTTGTCCATTCAATACCCCTAGAAATTAAAAAAAGATTAATCTAATACCTTTTTTATTTGACAAGTTTATCTGAAAAATCAGGTTTTTCTTTGACCTAATTTTATTACACAAATTAAAAATAATATTATTACCTTTTGAGACATTATCATACATTCTGACACACATGAAATTATTTCTAATTAAAACTTTATCTCCAAGTGTAATGACAAGATAGTTTAATTATCAGAATTCATACCATTATTAAAATAACTATAGCAAATTGGCCAGGGAGAGTCACATTGGAGCATTTTTCTGGAATCCAACGGCTTAAAAATAAGTGGTATAGAAGTATTCTGAACAAAATCCTTAAAGTTGTGTACACTTAGTAATTTTATGAAATTTTATCAAAATACCTAGTTGGTTAGGAAGCAGAAATTCCTAGAGCAAAGAATACAACCTGAGCTGTTAAGATCAGAAAGTGGATGATAGCTGCAAATGCCACAGCAATTACAGAAAAGCACAAAACAAGTCTCGAAAAGAAGGACACATCTGACAACACAGCAAACCATGACCTGAAAGCCCTGGGAATCTGATTAATGTGGGTACTGACCAGAGGTGATGGCATGTTTTTCATACTAACAGGCTCTGCACTGCTTACCGGCACAGAGGCTGGCTGAGAGGGAAGTCTAAATCTCAGTTCCATCGAAACTGCTCATCAGCATTTACAGGACCGCCATTTCCAAAAACACATTGTTTATGGCTGCCCTCGTAACACAGCAGCAGCATCAAGTAGGTGTGACAGAAAGTTTATGGCCTAAAATCCTAAGCCTAAAACATTTACTTTTGAGGCCTTACTGATACCTGACTTTGTTTATTCATTTCTAGACCAACATGAACGCAATGGTTAGATTTGGCATGGAACACTGCTTTTCTGTCTCTCTCATTTGCCCAACCAGTACGATGGCTTCCTACATCATACCAACACCTCTTTGTGGCTTTCAAGGGCATCCAGCCATTTGCCTGATCCTATTTAACCTAGTTTCCCATTCCATGGTCTGAACCTTATCTGTTTTTTAACTAGAGGAGTTGTCCTCACTAATCCCTGTGCACCCACCTATTTGTCTTTTGGCATAGGGGCAAACACAACCCAAAGTGAGCTACAAATAATAGTTGCAACAGCTGGCAGTTGCTCTCATCATACAGGATTATAACCATTTAAACTTAAAGTTATGTCCAAACCTGGAACGACCTCCCTCTTTCCCTCTTCAAATACTACTGGACTGAAGTCCTGGTTCCACACTGCTCCCTGCATCTCATTTGCTAGACAGGCACACAGAAAGCACTATATACTGGCAATCATCGTAATTATTACCCTTCTTCAAGAGCTAACTCCAGCCCTATTTTCTTCATTAGACCGCCCCATTAACTAAACTCAAATACACCTACAATGAACACCTTACAAATTTGGTTAATTATTCAGTAGAAAAGTTCATTGTCTCACTTCTCCTTTCTTTCTCCTAACATGTAACAGTGTTCAACTTTTCTACAGCAAACAAAAGAACAAAGGAATGTCTTTGGACATTCTGGCAGCTTCAATCAAATTTGTTTGTCCACAGAAATCCTAAGACTCACCTTCCAGATCTTGTTGCTAGAATCTGAATAAATTATTAATTATCTCTGGACACTAGTAATTCTGGCCTCCCACTCATCATTCATCACATTTGAAATTTTATGTTAAATACCCAGTATGTGCTAGTGACTGCTAGGCACTGGAAATGCAGCTGTAAATGAAAGATGGTATAACTACTCTACTTCTAAGAGCTTGCATCTAGCAGAAAAGAGGTGTGTATTTTGCATTACTTACTATAAAAAAGACTGGTGCAGAGCTGAACAAGAGCTGTCAGTGTAAGAGTTACCCATGATCAGATCTCGGGGCCCAACCAGGGAACAGTTAAAGGTAAGGAAGACTGTTAAAGCTGAGACCCAGAGGTCAACTGGCATTTTAATCTAGGCCTGACCAACTGAGGCAATAGTGTGAGTGGCTGAAAAACACCGTGCAAGGTGGTAATTGTGTGTGCATGTGTATGTGTTTTGCTGGAATGGAACCCAGGGTCTCACACATGCTAGACATGCACTCTACTACTGAGCTACCCCCAACCCCAGACTCTCTGAAAGGAGGCAACATGTTGGGTCTCTCCAGCCATGGACAGTACTCATAAGTTTAGATTAAACGAATGATGTCCAAGAAAAGCCTAGTACTCCTTATATGCATTAGTAGCGTGCATATTCACAGAAGTGCTCTCCTCTGTTCACAAATGTTCCAGTGCACAGGATATAACAAGACTGCAGCGAATGCTCATCTGTCAACCAGCAGCTGCTGCTTTGAACAGATTATAGCAGCAGCTTACATATGAAGAAAGTAAAAATCATGCTGGACTTCAAAGTGGATTCGGTAAGAAGGGGATTATTTCTTTGAAGTAAAGAATGAATTTTTGTCAAACATAAGTTTGAGGTGAGCTCCACACTATTAGCAGGATGAGGACAGCCATAACTTACACTAAGGTATCTAAAAGACAAAGAACTGCAGCTCTTTTATGCTTTAGAATTTTTTGTTTCTTTTGGCAGGATTCTCACCCATTGAAACAGCTATAACTTCAGAAGCTATCCTCAGGTACCTGGCATTCTGATTCCTATGGGCTCATAAGCCAGGTTTGTTGACTATCTACTGGGGATCTTACAAAGGCTACTTGTCAACATGGGGGGTAGGAGTAGGGTACAAGGACACAATTCTGAAAGGCCTTAACATTCTAAGATTCTTCTGCAAGTTTACAAGTCAAAAAAACAGATCATTTTATTTTCTACAAATCACTCAGTGTAATCAAAGGAATGCTGTCGATCAATGCTTTTATAGACATATAAACTGTTAATTTTTGATATCCAAAATAGTAGTATTTTAAACTGGACAAACACAAATAATCTAAGAAAATTAACATGCACCACTCTGCTTTGTTGCTTCTAGGTATCTTCCACTAGATTATAAGCCTCAAAGGCTCTGTCTACAGCCTTACATGAGATGCTCAACAGACATTCGTAAAGCATCCCTGATTAAAACATCGTAATTTTAAAGAAGCACACCCATGTAACTGTCTGCAACAGCACAGCTGTATACATATGTGTATACATAAGATTCACATACAAAGAAAACAACTTCTAAAAGTTAGCCTTAATTTGCATATAAAAATATAGAATGCATTGGGTTTGCTAATAATCAGTTCAGAAGTTTTTATAACACACCTGTGAATCGTTGTAATGGTTTTTAATTGAAATGCTAAAATTGCATTAATTGAAATACAAAAGACAATAGGATTTTAGCATCCTCTTGGGCAACATCCCTGAATGTAAAGTAAGTGTCAGTTAAGAGGAAAAAATTCTATGAGATATGGAGCATCCATGTATGATTGTATTAATACTTAATCCATAAAACAAGCACTGCTTAAATGGAGAGTTTTGAATGCTTGGTGTTAGCCCTAAAAGAAAACACTATACAAGAGGCAGGGGGTAAAACAGCAGAAATGAAGAGAAGCTATGAGCAGAGGCAGCAAAGGCTATTAGAAGTGCCAGAATAGCAACTGTAGCCCTGTCACAGAGAAGACAAGACAAGCCCAGTCTAATAAGACACTAAACAAATGCCTGTGCTGCTAGACCCCAGATCCAGTGCTTTTGAAGAAATTCCAGCTCAATGTAGGTGTATTTGGGAAGACACAGGAGGGCACAGCACAATAGTCTTGTGGGATGTACGACAAACAATGCATTTGAAAGAGTAAGGCAAAGATTTCCATTACAATCAGAAGTTGTGATACTCAAAGGGTGGACCCTTCCCATCTAGAAAATGCATTTGCTCAGAATAGCATTTTCACTAACAGTCTGCCAAAAACTTTCATGTACACATATGGCTAGATGGACAGGACATAGAAAATGGCCTTTCTTACACTCTCATTAAAAGATCACCCAAACTACTAGAAATTTGCATGATATATGTGTAATTTCACAGTCTGTCAAAAAGACAGGGCAAAAAAGCAAACCAGCCTTGCAGTCAGCATCACAATGCTGTGCAGCAGAAAGCAAGGGCACTCTGCTGCCAGCGGAGCATTCTCATGATGTCTCTGCACACACAGCACGTGTCTCGAAATCAAAGAATAAATGCTAATCAACTTTGGGCCGTTCCTAATGGTGTCCAAACAAAGACATAATTAAGATTAATTAACAATTAAAATTACTTTATTCAAGTTTGTCATGAGCAGTCCTACTGCTGTGATGGATCTTCATCCAACTAAACCTGAACAAGGCAACACAGTGACTTCCAGTGAGACAATAACCTGGTCTTTAGGAAAAATAAACAATATACAGCAATAAAAACTGCTTACGTCCTTCACAAGGAGGCAATTAGCACTCATCCTTGATTAGCACTCCATTAGTTGGAAATGCATATTTATTATTTGAACTTTTCAGGCAAATAATCACAGCTGTAGATACTGCTGCAGAGTACTCAGTGTAGAAAAAGTCTATGAGAACTTTTTTCTTGTATTATGTTTTTTATCTCAACATCACAGCAGCATACTCACTTGACTTCACATGAGTGGACACTTAACTCCTTGTGTAGCAGACCATTGTTTAGGTGGTATACCAGGACAGAACCATTACTTGTACCTACCAAAATGATGTACAGAAGAGCATTAATTATGAGGGAGTGCTCAGTCTTTCCAACAAGTCTTTTTTCTAGAGTATAAACGTTTTACATTTATCTTTTATGAAAGGGACCCAACTATGTGTTTTAAAGAAAAGAACGCATTTCCATTATTCTCCTTCACAAAAGTGAGCCTACTCTCATATGCTCTAAAATCTCACCTAACTCCAGGGATAGATCTTCAGTGAAAGATTTAAAACCAGAATCAACATAGACAGCAATTTGAAAAGGCACTTTCCTAAGCTTCCCTATACATAGGAGTTTACAAATTTTGAGGTTCAGAATGTTTATTATAGTCTTCAGAAAGGCCACCTAGGTGAGCTCATTAACCACCTCTTTCTATTTTTTTAAATTTTTGTTTTCTCTCATTATATAGTCAAGACAAGATAATAAAGTATGGTGGTAAAATGTGATTTCTGCAGTTAAAGAAGCCTGGGTCATCCCTGACTCTGTACTTCCTGGGTGAGTTACGTGCCCAATGCTAACCCTGTGTTTTCACCTGTTAGAGATGAAATAAGATGACATATGTAAAGCACTCAGTGTAAAGCACTTGGCACAAAGCAAGCACTTGGCCATGAGCACTAACTTGGTTAACTATGCGGTCCTATTATCACCACAGTGAAGAGTTCATAGTCACTCCATTCCTAAAGTTTTGGTGGTCTCAAGCTGTATGGCTGAAGCTTAAGCAGAAAACATATGACTCACTTGAGGAGTTCTACTCTCTAAAAGGTTTTACGAGCTAAGCTAGAAGAGTGAACAGTATAATTGTTTGGACAGTCATTTTTTCAGTGTACGATTTAAAAGGATGAATGGAGTCAGACAAACTAATGAAATGGAAGTAAAAATGATAGACAAATTCTAATTTTAGCTTATTTGTTCAAAAAAGCTCCAGAAAATCTTCTAAATAGCTCTTCTAGGAAAGTACACTTGATAGCTGCTTACACTTATCATCTATCTCATAAAAACAACTCTGGTACTGAAAATCACTAAAAATTTTCAATGAACAGACCTTCTTAACAGTCAAGTGATTCTTGCAGTCAAACCTATGATCTAATATCCTAGGACCACAAGAAAAATGAACTGCTTATCTTTCCTTGTGTGACATTGCAAAACTTTAGGCACTTATATTTCTTACTTTTGTTTTGCTGTAATAAAGTCAGTAAATGATGACATTTACTATGAGTGAGAACTTATTCAATAATGGAAATCACAGGATTTAATATAACTCTTATTATATAACTGTAGCAACAAGAATTTTCCTCAAGAAACTGAAAAAAATCCCAATTGACAAGTTAGGTAGTTAGGTACACTGACATGTGCACTGATGAGTCCTAACTAAAACCTGTAAAATGTTAAAGATGAATCAATCGATGTTAAGGTAAAAATTAAATACTTACCTGAATTTTTATAAATCTGGACATATGCACACACAAACTATTGATTCTTCAAATGAAGACCACTTTCACAAGACAACCACAAATAATTAAAAAACAAACAAACAGGAAAATACCCAAAGAATACCTAAAGGAGCTGTTATATTCAGGAGTCAGCCATTAAGCTGAGACATGTTGGCTACAAAATAAATGTGGTCAGGTTTCAGTTAGGAAAAAAGAAAAAGAATCACAAGTCACATGTTTGTAGACTTGGGGAGAAAGCCAGAAGTCAATCAATAGCATCTTAAGAAGATACGTTCAATATTTCAAATAAATAAACTATTGAAAAAATATTTAGAGAAATATATGTACTTAAGAACAAACTAAATTTTGGTATTCTCTGCAAAGGAAGTTAGGTTCATACCACTGCTATGAAATTAATGTGATAGCAAGTCAAAGCCCAGACAAACTTTTCTATCTGTAACAGAAAAATAATGCCATTTCAAACCAAAAAGCAAATATATTTATGGGGATCACAGCCTACTTAAACAACATTACTACACAATTTTTAGCAAATAAAGAACATATTATTAAACTATTAATTATGACTACCTTGTTAACAAAAGATCCAATACAAAATGACATATGCAGAAAGACCAGGGAGGTACTGGGGAGGTCCAAGAAAAGAGAAACGTGACTGTCAAATCTTGCACAGGTAAGTTTCACTGTGATTAAAAATGTTTCAATATGGGTATCTGTATGAGTTCACTCAGCCCATTCCTTCTTTTAAAGAATTCTCAAAAAGAATAAAGGCTTTTCTCTAAACATAATATAAAATGAGCCAAAAAAACAGCAGGTCAAACACTCACCAACAGCAAGCAGTGGCTGATACATCTTGATGTTTTTTGTGGTCAGCGGTGGGCACATACGAAGGGCAAACTGAGGGGAGGGCAGTCCTGAAAGCAGTCCTGTTAGCAGAAATTTGAGGTGCACTTCCTGCAGAGTGGAACCTTTGGGATGCTCCTCCCCAGCAATTGCGCTTTGCCCTGATTTGTCATCAAAAAACAAAATATTAATTATAAGGGGATGCTGATCTTAAAGGTCAGAAGAGACTTTTCAGTGGACATGTTCAACAGGCTTAGAAGCCAGGGTGTGATGTGTCACTCTAGTGGCCAAAGCAAGCAGGGCCACATGGCTCTGTACATGGCTACAGGACTTAAATTTCATCATTAACACCTCGAAGGACAGATAGCTCCCAAATACTGCTATGCAGAATTCAGGGACCTAAATCTAAGAAACATGGTTTCACCAAAGTTCCTGTATGAGGGCACTAAACAGAGGCTGCAAAACAAGCAAAGCTGGAGTAGAGACCTTTTCATGCTATATCACATTTCCATCGTATGGCCTCTCGTTCTTACTCTGTAAGAACAATCAAAGGACTCACTGATGACTTCTAACAGGAAGTCTTCATGCACTGACATAGTTACAAAATTTAAAGTTTGTAATTTCTGTGTATGTAAGTACATAAAATAAGATATATTACATGTTTTAACAAATAACATATAATATATAAACTGTCACTGTAGGTCATTGAGTCTCAAATGACATTATTTTCATATGCATTGCTTATACATAGGTTACCATGTCTCAAACTAAAAAAGATGACTCCAGTAAAAACCATTCTAACAAAATGTGAATATAGAAAATACAAAAACATTAAGACTGTTCACTAAAAAGGCATACAACTTTCCTTCCTACAGACCACTATTAAATGTTGGGATTAATATGCCAACAGAACATAATAAAGTAGGTGGGAGTGAATTTACAAGTACACACACCAAACATATGCACAAATATATATCTGCATATGTATGTATACACACATCCAAAGAATCATATATATGCATATTATGAAAAATAAATATAAATTACTGTGTGGGTGATAGGACTATGAATATAATCCTTTGAGTCTATGAAGTTGTTTTAGTAATGTGATTTTGAAATCTATAAAACATACAGAAAAAATAGGTATCAATTTAATCTAATTAAAATATCCCTTAGGATTGGCCCTGTAATTGATACTGATCTCTGCTTACTTTGGCAACATTAGATGGAATATTAAGGAAAGGGAAGTTCAGAAGGTAGGTACCACATACACATATGTGTATTCTTAGAGTTGACTCCTGGGAACCATCACATTTTTTAAGTATTTTCCATAAGAGGCAATTCATGAGGGAGGGCAGATTAGGCCTTAATAAGCAGCAGCCTTATCCCATGAATATAAATCAGCCTCTGTATTTAACTGAATTGCTTTTAATTATCACTAAGTACACAGTGAATTTCAAATTAAAAGTTTTAATTAAAATGTTTTCAAGTGACAAAGCTTTACTTATTTAATACTTAAACCAACTACACTGTCAAGAACTGCTATACAATCTGCATCCTTTTGTTTCTAAATACTGTGATTTATATCACTTAAATCCCTGAACAGCATAAAATTCAACCTCCTACAGTTTTCATATTACTAATTAGTTCTGTTCATGTATGATATAATTATTTTCACTTTAATATTTTATATTAAAAACAGATCAGGTCAATTAACTCAGAAAATTATGTCACCAATAAAATGAATTCTGCAAAACTACTAAGTATGCCTCAACTTATTCCTATGAATTTGTTGAATAGAAAGAACTTCAAATGTAAAAGTAAGCTCCACTGACTGAGGAACTCTACAACTAGCAGGCATCATGAAAACCAGGTGTTGAGAGGTCTGGGTCTTGCCCCAGACAACAGTGGAGCAGGCAGGAGTCAGGGGCACTGCTGAGCCAGCTCAGGAGCCAGGAGGACGGGGTTCACATTTTGGCTTTTCCACCTATTGCTGTGTGATTTGGGGCATGTTTTTTAATCTCTCTGGTCTCAGTTCTCACATATATTATAATTTTATCCACTTTGCAGGGTTATAGAGAGGTAACACATATTTAGCACTTAATTAGTATTAAGCACTAAACAAATGTCATTTGATTAATGATTCATAAGGTAATGCTCTTTGCAGTACATCACCTGTTTAGTAGCATTTAAACCAAAAAAATGTAAACAATATTCATTCTCAGTTATACTACGGAAGAACAGATAGTGATGCAGAAAATCCTCTATAAACCACATCCGCAATTTAAGAATTAGATATCACAATTGCTTGGCATATTTACAAAGTCTACAATTTCAAGTTGTGTAACATTTAAAACCTCAAATTATTCTTTAATATACACTAGCCCCCAAATAATTAAATAGCTAAATGTGTTATTTGTAAATACTTGTTGAAAGTAAGATTGTTCAACAGAGTAAGAAAACTTGCTGGGTATGGTAGTGCACTGCTGCAATCCCAGCTACTCAGGAGGCAGTGGCAGGAAGATTTCAAGTTCCAAGCCAGCTCAGGCAAAGTTAGCTAGACCCTACCTCAAAAACAAAAGGACTGGACTAATAGCTACACTGGTATGGCATCAAGGCCCTGGGTTTAATCTCCAGCACCATCAAAAAAAAAACTGTCAAAAACTTAAAATAATTTTTCTAAGATAGCTCTGTTACTTTGACTATTCTTCAACAAATATTAACTGCCCATCTACAAAGCCCAGTGCTGTGTGCTGGGGAATACAAAATCAAATTAAATCAAATCAAATAGTACCACCATTGTGCAGCTTGTAATTCAATGGAGGAAACAGAAACAAAACCACAATTGTAATACAGGTAATAACTACCAGAGCCCACAAAACAAGAACATTTAAATCAGACTCGTAAGGTTATAGAAAACAACATTTGAGGTGAATTTTGAATGAGGAAGAGCAGAAAGACAGAGAGAGACAGCATGCATTGAGTTCCGAGACATGTGGCCAGTGAGCACGCAGGCCCTGAGGAGGTGAGGAGGTGAGGGCTGCTCATCAAGGGCTCTGAATCTGGAATCTGGGTGCCTGGGGCATGGCTTTTATTTTGATCACAATCTCAGGAATGAACATCTTCTAATTCCAACACCTACAGTGCCTAGCTATGCTACTGTGGGTACTGCTATGTTAAATATTTCACACTTTTCTGATTTGTTTAGGAAAAAGTGATTCCACATTCCAGTTTTCTCACGTGTTAACTCTGACTTGATAATAACTTTGCCCTTCAAAAGGAGTACTTAACATGCAAGTTAGAGGAAAAAACCAAGCTTACCGATCATATTATCTAGGGAAAGGTCTGGGAGTTTATTCTGTAGCACTCCCACAGGAATTCCACAGAAAGACACTGGTGAATATAAAGGTGACACACCACAACTACTGCAAAGACATAATAATTAGACAGTTTTTACATATTGAAAACTAGCATTACACATTAGGAGCTCAAATTATTAATTCCAGGTCATGGCATTCTATTTTTATAGTACTATCTATTAATCTTACCCAGATGTGAACCAGCTCTGTCAGATTTACATAATTCTTTAATGATCTAAACCCTTAATTACATACTTAAAAACATTTTTAGCCCAGTATGGTGGCTCATGCCTGTAATTCTAGCTATTCAGGAGATAGGAATTGGTAGGACTGCCATCAAGGGCAAAAAGTTCACAAGACACTATCTCAAACAATAAAAGCTGTCACAGTGGGGCACACCTGTCACCCCAGCTACGTGGGAAGCATAATAGAAAGATGGAAGTCTAGGCCAGCCTGGCATAAAAGCAAGACCTTATCTGAAAAATAACTAAAGCAAAAAGGGATAGGGGCATGGCTCAAACAGTAGAGTACCTGCCTAGCAAGCACACAGCCCTAAGTTCAAACCCCAGTACCACCATAAATATGTATTTTATATATATTACATATATATATATATACACACATATATATATAAAATAGAAAAATGGCCCTTCTATTTTTATAATAATCAAGAAAAAAAGCAGGATTCAATCCTGGGGACTCGTTTACCTGTTCCGTGAACTTCGATTACACACAGCAGACTTGAGTTCCCATATCATGACCCTGCCGTCACTCACTATGAGGGCAGCTGCATTCTCATTGACAGGACAGCACACCATGCTGAAGGGACGGACTGTTTTTGTCACCCTGATTGCATCGCACTGGCTTCGTAAATCATACGTAAGCTCCTGAACAGGATCTGGATCTTAACATAAAATAATCTTCTTTGAAATGTTGGAGCAATCACATCAAAATCACCACTACTTGCTTTAACTTAATAAAACCTCAACTACAGGTCATTGTTCCTTCACTGGTGCAAACTGTAAAGAACAACCTATGTCTAAGTCCTAGTTTCTTCAGACTATAAAGAGAATTCATTTAAGGTCTGTATATAGTTTTAGTCTCTTGTGAAAAGGCACAGTGGTATTTGATTAACAATGAACAGCGCACCACCATAATTTGCAGAGGTCTGTAAGAAGTCTGAAAATACCTGTACTTCAGTACCTCATTTCACAAAAACACTATTTCTCTGCTCCAAAAGTCTGACCTGACAACTGAGTGCCTTGGAGCCTTACTAACCTATGTCAGCTTACAGAGGAAACTACTAAAGCAAAGAAGTCCCTGGACTTTAACTGAAGGAGGATTCCTATGCTTGGTCAGTGGACAAATCAAGAAAGATTATAGTGCTCAGTAGCTTTGTTGCACATAAGAGGTGCACTGCTATAACAATAAAAGGTGCATCTTGTTGTTTTATGTGTCATGTTATGATCATGTTCTAACACTCTCTCAAGGCAAAGATTATCGTTAACACTACTCTTAGGCTGCTATCTGCCACATTAAGCTTAACAATTCTGAAGCATATAGTCAACATCATTGTGAGATCTAAACTTACCTGCCTCATCATTTGAAGTGGTGAAAATGCTACTGTAAGATCTTCGAACACGTAAGGTTATACAACCATTTTCATGTAGGCAAAATAAACCATCACGCTGAAAGCAGGGTATTACCTTTAAATAGATGATGCATTTGTTTTTAAAAATACAAAGGAGTATTAAAGTATAATATGTGAAACCCAACTCATAGAGAATATGGGAAAAAAGAAACAAAAATATACATATAATACCCAATCTTTAAAACTAAGTGAACATTCTAAAAATCCAGTTATAATCCTAAAAATACCTGTCATCATTCATGTCACATAAATAGTTTAATAATTACCTCAGGATCAGTTAGAAGAATTACTAGGCAAATAAAAACCAATGAAAATGCTGAAAATCCTGGCACTGGTAGCTCACACCTACAATCCCAGCTACTTGGGAAGCTGAGATCAGGAAGATCGAGATTTGCAGTCAGCCCAGGCAAAAACTTTGTGAGACCCCATTTTAACCAACAGCTGGGCAAGGTGGAGTGTGCCTGTCATCCCAGGTATACAGGAAGCTGAGATTGGGAGGATCAAAGTTCCAAACCGGCCCGAGCAAGAACGTTTTCAAGCTCCCCATCTCAGTAGAAAAAGGTTGTACGCGCCCCTGTTATCCTCCCAACAATGGCAGAAAGTATGAAATAGGAGGACTGTGGTCCAGGCCTGCTCGGGTAAAAAGCAAGACCCTATCTCCAAAATAATGCCAGGCAAAAATGGCAGGAGGCATGGCCTAAGTGGAAGAGCAGAGCACCTGCTTAGCAAACATGAAGCCCTGAGTTCAAACCCACTACCACAAAAAAAAAGTGCAGAAAAATAAGGAATATAAAATGATATGAATTTTTTAGTAAGTAGAAAAGGTAGGAACTAACAAGTCTTGCAAGTTACGGTCTTTCTAAATAACATAAGAGTTTGAGTGTCACTTGTAAAATATGGATACCTGCAGGAACGGAACTCCTGTGCGTTCTATCGCGATCACCCCCACGGTTTGATTCACCTCAAGGTCAAGGATCAGGATCTCTCGAGGATACAGCAACACCATGTGACTCCTTTTCGAAGGCAGATAGGCCAACTGCAGGCAGTCATTGAGAGTCATGAACTCAGCACTGGAAAAGAAAGAACCAAAAGAAGAACAGATGGCAGTGTCAGTGTCAAGACCCGAGTCATATAAAAAAGAGCTAATAAAGGATTTGATTTTATACTTTCCACATAAAAAACTGTCAATAGAATGTACAACTATTTCCTGAAATGACCAAGATGGGTTGGCATCCAAAACTTAGATCTCTACTAACAGCCAGAATACAAATTATGACAAAAATCACTGCACAAATTGGGTAAACAACAGTACTCTTAAATATGTGAAATACACAAAGTAAAACAGTGTAGCATGATGTCTACGATGAGATTACAAGTGACAACAGTATACTGGCACTCATAACTGTTTATTTTTCCTTTGCAATTAAATGTATTAGACTGTTGAAATAAAGACCCAGAATTAGGGCTGGGCATCTGGTTCAAAGTAGCAGGAGCCTGCCTAGCAAGTGCAATGCCCTGAGTTCAAATCCCAGCACTGCCAAAAAAAGGACTCAGGACTAAAACAGACAGGGTAATTAAGACCATTGGATCAGAAGTTACTGGACTATATGTATGGGCCCAGAGCAAAGCAATTCTTTACTCTGCCTTCACTCACTTTTAAGCTGTCCTAAATCTTTTTCAAAGCAAACTAGGGTACTTTGTTCCCTTATATCACAACATCTGTAGTATAAATAAAACAGATGAAATTATGATTGGGAAAAACAGTTAAGGCGTTTCAAAATTGTTTTAGTAATTTTTTACTGCTACATATATTTAATCAGAGCCTTTTAGTATTAAATATATTTCAATAGAAGACATATATTTTATTTTTTAAACATTTATTTTATATAAACATTTTGTTTTTACATATTCTATTGAAAGACTTCAAAATTTAAAAGAAAAGTTAATTTAGAGAACTTTGGTACTGCCAAAAAGAAAAAAAAATGAGAATAGTACCACTGCCCAGGACTGGAGTAGCACCACATGAATGAATGAATGTGAAAGCACTCAGATCAGTTCTATTTAGTCTACTTAAAGGGACAAATAATGCATTTTTCTGAAACTGATGATGCAGATATGGCGGCTCATACCTGTAATCATAGCTACTGAGATCAGGAGAATCATGGTTCAGGCTAGTCCAGGCAAATAGTTCAAGAGCCCTCCATCCCTCAAAATAACCTGAGCAAAATGGACTGGAGGTATGGCTCAAGTGGTCGAGTGCTTGCTTTGCAAGCATAAAGCCCTGAGTTCAAACTCCAGACCCACCAAAAAACCAAAGAAATGTATGATTCACATGACAGAAAACAACAGATGAGTTAAAATTCACAAAAATGTTCCACCTCTCATACTTACTTATGACAGGGAATATAAGAAAAACAGTTCTCTTAAGATACTTAAGGAGCAATTTTTTTTTGATCAATTTTTTTTTTGTAGTAGTAGTACTGAGGTTTGAACTCAGAGCCTCATGCTTGCTAGGCAGGTGCTCTACCACTTGAGCCATTCCTCCAGCCCTTTTTTGTGTTGGTTATTTTCAAGATAGGGTCTCACAAACTATTTGCCTGGGCTGGCTTCGAAATGTAATCCTCCTGATCTCTGCCTCCTGTGTAGCTTGGATTATGGGTGTGAGCCAACAGCGCCAGGCTTAAGAAGCAGTCTAAAATCATCTTGGCATAACATACAGTGGGAAATAAATAACTAGTAAACTTAACTAGACTGTGGCTTAACATATAAAAATGACATTTGTTCGTGAATTCAAAATACATTTGTAGTGAGTGCAATTTATATCATTACCGTATATTTTTCACAAAGGCTAAAGGTAATTATCCACAAAGGCTAAAGAGAATAATCATAGCATATCAAAGATAAAAGCTATTTTAAAATGAATGTCAAAAAATCTTGCCAAAGCAGTCAAAACGTAAGATCATAGTCTTAGGAAAAAGACAGAAACATATTACCAGTGCATAAAATTTACCACTTAAAATTGTATTCCGTTGCAATTTCTTAAACAATAACAGCTTACATGTTCTAAGTGAATGCTATGAACTGCCAACCACTACATTAAGTACTTAAATTACTGTGTCTATTAATCTTTACTAATCCTACATGATACAAGACCCTATTTTAGAGATTGGGAGAATGAAATTGAGCTCCAGCTTCCCTCAGAACCAAGCTCTCAGTTAGGAAGGGAAACACCTTCATCTGCATACAGAAACACCCACATTTTCCTGGCTCATGAGAGACTGCACTGCATTTAAGTCATGAAAATGTACTGAAGTGAAAATCCAGCTTTTGTTTCCAAATTTTTCTTGTACTCATGTATTTGATAACCACACTTTAAAATCATATTTTCAGAAGTAAAAAATTTTAATCTGTAAAAATCAGTGGAGGTGTTTATTTCAGCTAGTATAAGTAAAGGGACCATGTTAAATGCTGGATCTCCTGTTGGGGGAGGAGACAAAAAAAAAAAAAAGAGTATTTTTTTCTCTAATAAATTCAAAATGAGAAGTGAGAAAGGGTGAGATGAAGAAGAAAATCTATCTTAGTACAATTCCAAAAATGATGCTTTCATATCTGACAATGAAGAGATCAATGTTGTTTTCACTTTTACACTTGTAACTCACCTAGGCTTCTCCTGAGTGATTAAAATTTTGACTTTATTAAGAGCCTTCTTGGCTCCTGTGGCTGCAACAAGCTTGTTATGAGCAGGGCTGGAGTGTGGGCTGGAGATGTACACTTTTTTCCCAGGGCCTGAGGGAGGCTTGGATGGAGAGAAGTCTGAGATGAATACAATACCCTCGCTGGTGAGTACTATATTGAAAGAAGCAAAACTCTGATTAAAATTTAATCAAGTTTAGCACAAGGTTTTATTCAAATACAGTCTGAGAGCAAATGAATGATAATTTCAGCAACATAGAACTGGCAACATTTTATAGTCATAACTTGATGGGGCTGCTCTCCAAGGTGAAGAGAAACAGGTAACTCCATCAAAATTCATCAGAGGCCTCTGGCTGAATATTCTAAGTTATGTCTTATATTAAAGAAGATACTAGAAGGTTATTGTCACAAAGAACAAATGTTTATTCTTCCAGATTAATTCCATGCATAGACTTTCACTAAAAACCTTTCCTTGTTATTCCCTATAACTTCAAAATTCAAATGCTTTTCAGAATATGCGATTCATACAGAAAGAAAAGCCACCACATATGTAGGAGGCTCTGCATAGCTTGAATAGCTTGGTTCAAATATTTGATGTGGCAATAGTAAGTTTTTATGGTTATTATAAGCTACTTGTCTAAATATATTTATCTTCCTGAACATCAGCCTGAACCTTAGGGTAAATAATGAGTATACCTTTCCTTTTACATTTTAAGGTAAGTAGAGTGACAACAGAGTGGCACTCTTTTACTAAGTGCCCACAACACAAAAATATTTTAGTGACTATGCCTTTTTATGATATAAAAAAATCTTCCCCAACACTGGGACTAGTGCTGGGAAACAAGGACTAGAAAACCTAATCAACACTGGGTCCTGGCAGGTGATGAGGCTGCTTGTAGGCACAGGGGTGGAAGAGGCATTCAAGAACAACTCTAGCACATGTAGTTTAAGTACATAAAAAAAGTTAGGTAGCTGATGACTTGAAATATATAGATTTCACCAGCCAAAATCACAGAGAGGTAGAGCTAATACAATCAAGTTAGCCTAAAGCCTTGTTCAGGTTCCAGAACTCATCCTTTGAGGCCCCACAGCTTCACTTGCTTTGTGATGCCTTTCCTGCCCATCTATGCTGAGCCAGCCTTCTGTGTTCCCACAGCACTGAGTTTATGTAAGCAAACTGGTAAGTGTAAACATGCCCAAGTTCATATAAACTATCCACAAAAGCCTGAACACCTAAACTGCAGCTATTTTTATAGCCATGTTTCTCATTTTATCTTCCAATTGTCTGCCATTCACTTCCTCCTGCAACACTCTGTCTCTCTCAATCTCTCTGAATAAATGTTGATGATAAAATCAGAATCAGTCTTTCAAATCCAAGGAAAATATTCTAACCACAGCTAATTCTCTGCCCTTGTTCAAGCTTCTGCTTATTATCAAAATGAAGCCTACTATGACCACTTTAATATAATTTGACTGCCCTTGGCCCCCCACTCCTCTTCATCCCCTTCTTCCTGTTTATTTTCTTTACACCACTAATCATCTCTTAATATACTAGAATTTATGAATTCATTATGTTCACAATTTATGATATGACTACCTTTCACTAGAAAGTTAAGTCCATGAAGGCAGAAACCTTTATCTTGGTTCCCAGAACAGTAGTAATAGCTTAAGGAATCTTGGTTGGAGCTGGTGGCTCACACTTGTAATCCTAGTTACATGGGAACCTGAGAATGGGATCATGGTTTGACACCACCCCATGCAAAAAAGTTTGTGAGACCTCATCTCAATGGAACAAAGCTGGGTGTGGTGGCATGCACCTGTCATCCCAGTGACAGTGGGAAACATAAAATGGGAGGATCATAGTCCAGGAGGACCTGGGCAAAAAGCAAGACCTATTTCCAGAACAATCACAGCAAAAACGGCTAATAGCTCAAGCAGTACAGCACCTGCCTAGGAAACACAAAGCCTGCCACCTCCCCTAAAAGATGTACCTGTTTAATAACTAAATAAAAAATACTTTCTAAATAATTGAGCTACATAATTATCTGTCCAAAAAAAGTCTTACTTTTCAATCATTTAATTAAGAAAGCATCAAGTATTGGCAAAACTACCTCTCTAAGAAAAAAATCCCCTTGGTCTTATTCTGTTATTTACACACATGCATTTAATGCACTTAAACAAATGACATTAGTTAGGGTGATTTTTTTAAAAAGCAAGAACTTAACAGGGCCTCAGATTAATGAAACCCTTGATTCACGTTCTTTAACTGTTCCTAGACAATCAAATTTAATGAAGTCTGAGTTGGAAATCACAATGACTCTCCAATCCTGGTTAGTTCAACAGTACTCACAAAGTCAACAGAGTGAAGTCAACATAGTTTGCTGGCTTACACTTTTATCAAATGCACGGAAGTTTATAGCAGCACTGTTCACCATAGCCAAGCTACAGAAACAACCCAGATGCCCTACAACTAATGGATGGATTAGGAAAATGTGTGTATATATAATGGCATTTTATTTAGCCATAAGGAAGAAAGGAAACCATGTGGTTTGAAGATAAATGGAGGCAATTAGAGGGCATAATGTTAAGTGAAGTTAGCCAGGCTCAGAAAAACAAAGGTTGCAGGTTTTCTCTCATATGTAGGACATAGACACAGTACAAATACAAGCAATATTTTGAAAAACAGGTTACACTAAGGGGAGGTCACTAACGAGAGAGGGAGAGTAAAAGAAGGAAGTTAAGAAGGTGAATATGGTTAATGTACTTTCTATACAAGAATGAATATAGAGTTTTGAAACCTGTTGAAAGGAAATCATCATAAAAAGCGGATTAAGGTAGAAAGGAGAAAAAGGATAAGAACCAATTTGAGTTGTAATACATATATACATGGAAATGTCACAAGGAAACTTCCTGTGAAGCTATCTTAAACAAACAAAAATGTCTTTTTCATGACTTTCCAAAATAATAAATAGAATAAAAGATGTACTTAGTACATAGTAAACACTCAATAAATATTTTTAAAATCCTCATTTAGAAATTCATTCAGTCAAGAGAGCTTCTCAAAGACTTGTGTCTCAAAAATGGAGAACAGGAAGGTAGAACAGGTCCTGTCTAGGGCTGGTATCAGTGGGAGGGGGGAGGATATAGGGAAAGGGTGTAGGACAGTGTGTATGGTGGAAATAGTATGTACTCGTGTATGAAAATGGAAAAATAAGACCTGTTGGAACTAGTCCAGGAATTGGGGGAAGGGAGGATAAAGGAGAGTGATGGGGGTGGGTGAATTCAACTATGATATATTATTGTAAGAACTTTTATAAATGTCACAATGTACCCCCAGTACAACAATATAATAAAAATATCTGCAAATGATACAGGGTTATGATTTAGTCTGGGTATTAGGACCTGCAGATACATGGATGAGATGTGCCTCTGCACTTTTGCTCGAGCATTTTCACATTATAGATGTTTAATGTGTGTATATATGCATATTGTATGTGTATAGCATATTGTATGTGTACAGCATTAATTACCTTAGTACCTTGTTAACTCACAACCAGTACTCACGAGTTAAATGTGAGGGATCAAAAGGGTCAAAAGAGAAGGAAAGAATGTTATCTGCGTAGCTCTTCTTCCACAGTTTGGTGCCTGTATCTGCATTCCAGAGCACGATGTAGTTCGGTGGGTGGATAGCAAGCAGTAAATCTCGGGAAGCATCTTGGTTCCACAACCACTGAACATCTGCAGAGACCAGAAAAGGAAAGGCGAAGCTCAAGAAGCATCCACTTCGAAACACTTGGGACCTTGTCTTTCATTTTGTTTTTGTACAATCCTTAATATCTTAACATCCTCACCAAATGTGACACACATGAATGCTTATCAAACTCATTTTATACAAAAATAAGTTGTTTGGTTAAAACCTCAAAGAACATGAAATATTAATTTAAAGGAAATACCAGGCAATTTGTGCTAATTACTACTTACAAATACACAACCAATATGTGAGATTCTCCTTGCCATGATCAGATGTCACACTCCTCCAATGTTTCTGTGGAATTACTTAAGATTACAGTTTTTCATGATTTTCCAAAATAATAAATAGAATAAAGATGTACTTAGTACATAGTAAACACTCAATAAATACTTTTTAAATCCTCATTTAGAAATTCATTCAGTCAAGAGAGCTTCTCAAAGACTCGTGTCTAAAGAATCCTGTATTGGTTTTAAGTGAGGAACATAAAGAAAGAAATGAGCAAGCAGGCTCTATAAAAATGAGAATGAATTTGTTCATCTACGTTAATGCGAAGTAAGCACTGACAGCAATTTCATAATAGCAGTTCAACCAAATATACTACAGCTTAGATTTCAAGAGTGCAGCAGACTCTCTTATTGTGCTTGACTGAAGCTGATGCTGAAATCAGTGAGTGTTACCAAAGCACAAATTACCTGAGATTTCAGGAAGTGTGTACAGAATTATATAGATAAGGAAAAGGCAGCTAGGTTTAAGTCAGTAGAATAGGCTTGTCACCTTCCAGAGTTAACCTGGAAGTGATGAAATCAAATGTATGGAAAAAGAAAAACTTAGAAAAACCAAAACCAAAACCTCTGCAAGAGTGAGCACGTGGACATGAGCCCTCATGACAGCGCACTCCTCACCCTGGATGGGCTTGGCATGCTCCTGGATCTCACACTGAGCAACTCCTGCTGCTACGTCCCACACCACCATCTTCCCACTGACGTCAGCAGAAGCCAGGCGCAGGCAATAGGGGGAGCCAACGTCATGGTGATAATTTTCCCTGGCCCACTTGACCTAGTGTCAGCAAGAAACAGATCGAGTAAATACTTGCTTATCATTTTCACAAAACCACAGCCAAAATTTTTATCACGTTTATACTATAAAAGAATTACCATGAATAAATAAGGAACTGGGCTTCACTTTGACACTTTTATTATTTATATTTTAAAATGTTTCACTTAAAATATTTTTGAAAATACTGCAATGTCCCTGCCTTTAAAATGTGAAAAATGATGCATAACTTTAATATTGTGGTAAATTCAGGTTTAAAAACAAAAACCCTCCAGAATACCTTGGTAAAACTTCAGAACACCTTAGGACTCAACTTTCCTAAAACCTAATTGTAACAAAACATTTAAAACCATCAACTGCTAAGCAGAGGTTTTTCTGTATTCTATTTTCCTAATTAAGAGAGAACAACTTAGAGGCACAAAAAACTTAAATAGAGAAAAACAGAAAAAAAAAAGCAAACAAAAATCTCTGGCTGTACTTCTTTCATAAAAATGTAAGTTTTTTGGAGGGGGCAGGTACAGTGGCTCATCTTTGTAATCCCAGCTACTTGGGAGACAGCAATCAGGAGGACAGTGGTTTCGAGGCCAACCTTGGTAAAAAAATTAGAGAGACCCCATCTCAACCAGTAGCTGGGTGTGGTGGTATATGCCTGAAACCCCAGCTGTGCAATAAGCATAAACAGGAGGATTACAGCCCAGGATGGACTGGACAAAAATGTGAGTCCCTATTACAAAAGTAACTAAAGCAAAAAGGACTGCAGGAATAGTTCAAATGGTAGAGCACCTGACTAGCAAGTGCAAATCCCTGAGTTCAAAACCCAGTACCATCAAAAAAAAAAAGTTGTTCCTCTAAAAAAAAGTATGCCTCATACCTCCAGCAAATTCAGGGAGAATCTGATTAAACTGTTGAACATGAATACTCCCAGGTAAGAGATAAGTGATATATATGGTCATTACCATGAGCCAATGCCCTCCCTGGCCACCCCCTGATGGTCACCACCACATCTTTCCTCTCTCAACATCCTGTTTGTTTTCTTCAAAGCATTTTAGTATATGTGTAATTATTTTATTTACATTTTAAAATATCTTATCACCAATTCATGGACTGTTGGTTCCATAGGGCAGTTCACATAGGTCTTGTTCACATTTCCACTCCCAGGCCACACACAGTACCCAAGCTCATGTTCTGTATGTGTTTAACAGGCCAACATGAACACTAAAAAATCTTGAAAGATGTGCATATAATGTGTAAATATGTGTGTACCCAAACAAACACACTCCTGCTAAAGTAGGAAAGTAAGCCACAAATTGCAATAGCATTTGTGAAAAAGATGGAAATCTAAGTTTTCCAAATATCAGTTTTACTAACACTTAAGGTCTTATTGTAATTTATCTTTAGCAGGCAACAATCTTTTCAAAAAAAATGTGTGGATGTGTGCACATACGCGTGTGTGTGCATTTGAGTATATATATGTATACGTACTGTGTGCATATGCTTCTTATACATATTGTGCACATATGCATGTATGTAATCAATTTTCATTAATGCAGATTCTGCAAATGTGAATTTGCTTACTCGCTAATATTTATTTGTAATTTCCAACCCGATGCTTGCAGTGCACTTTTCAGACAGGCTCAGCGTGGTAACATATGTTCCTAGCTGAGGGCAAACAAGGCATTCTTGCTTCAGCTCTCATAATGCAAGTGAATGTTCATTTGGCACCAATTTAACACTGTTTTTCACATTTTGGTGCTTCTTACTGGTGACGTCAATGTTTAAGATGGCCCTACGCATAGTGCTGCCTACCGTTCCTAAGTGGGAGAGTTGTGATGTGCCTTAGAGAAAAAATATGTGTGGGGATAGCTCTGCTCAGTGATGTGCTGTTGGCCATGAATTCAATGTACATGAATCAACAATATATATCCATCGAGATGTCTTCAAACATAAACACATGTAAAACAAAGTTATGTATTGACATTTTGATGAAGATGTTGTCACCAGAAGCTCATAGGAACCTAACTGCTAGGAGTAAACAATGTTTCAATAATCGCTAACTCAGGGTTTGCAGTGACTTTACAAAATGTAACTACCTTCACTAACAAGAGCATGTACACGTGTGTATGTATGAAGATGTGTGTATTTGTATGCTGTGTTGAATTCCATTTATGTAAATTCCAAGCAGTGTGTGTGTGTGTGTTTAAAAAGCCACCTAGACACATCATAACCAAGTTGTTGAAAACCACCTCCAAAGTAACCAGAGCAAAATGGACTGGAGGCGTGGCTCAAGCAGTAGAGCACCTGTTTTGCAAGCATGAAGCCCTGAGTTCAAAACCTTAGTTCCACTAAAAACAAACAAACAAACAAAAACGTGAAAACATTTGGAAATCACGTATCTGGTAAGAGACTTGAACCTAGAATATATTAAGACATCCTTTTCTTCTTTTTTTCTTTTTTTTTGAGACAGGGTCTCCCTATGTAGCCCAGGCTGGCCTCAAACTCACAGTCCTTCTGCCTCAGCCTGAAAGTGCTGTAATTAGAGGTATATGCCACTACTCCTGACTTGAATAGCTCTTTTTTTTTTTTTTTTTTGGGAGGGGGAGCTTGCACTGTCTAGGCAAGTGTTCCACTTCAGCCATGCCTCCAGACCATTTTAGTTTAGTTTATTTTTCAGGTAGAGTCTCTGGCTTTTGTCTGGGATCAACCTTGGACCACACTCCTCCCACCTCCACCTACAGCCTAGCTGGGATTACAGGTCTGTATCACACCCAGACCTGTTTGTTTTTTCAGATAAAGTCTCACCATCTTTTGCCCTGACTGGCCTTGAACCTTTATCCTCCCATTTCCCCCTCCTGCATAGCTGAAATTACAAATATGGACTACCACATCTGGCCCTGAATAGGTATTTTTACAAAGAAGATATAGGAATGGTCAGTAAGTATGTGAAAACATGCTCAACATCACCAGTCATAAGGGAAGTGCATATAAAAACCACACTGAGACCCCCCCCCCCACATCGACAAGGATGGATCTAACCAAAAAGACAGTGAACAAGTATTGATGAGGATTTGGAGAAGCTAGAATACTCATACACTGCTAATGAGAATGTAAAACTTGGAGAACAATTTAGAAATTCCTCAAAGAATTAAACATTTACGATGCGAGTCAACAGCTCCATGCCTAAATACATCCCCAGAGAAAAGAAAATACGTTCATATGAAAACTTGTATAGGAACGTCCACAGCTGCATTTACTCATAGTACCCCAACTGGGAAACACCTAAATGCTCATCAACAAAAGGCAAGTCTATATCCTCATAGTGGAAATTATTCAGCAATGAAAAGAATATGCTCCAACCTGGATGAAACCTGAAAGTGTGCTAAATGAAAGAAGTCAGGCACAACAAGCCACCTACTGAATGATTCCTTTTGTAGGAAATGTCCAGAATAGGTGAATGTACAGACAGAACGTAGTTCAGAGGTTGGGTAGAACTAAGGGGAATGGGAGAGATGGGAGGTGACTGCTAATGAGTATAGGGTTTCTATTACAGGCAATGAACTGATTATGATGATGACTATACGATAGCAAATGTACTAAGAACCACAGAATTGGGTGAATTTTATGGTCTATTTCAAGAGAGCATTTTTAAAAAAGACCCTAAATCTGTCTCCAATCCTGATCTCACTCCTAAGCTTCAAGTCACTATAATAAAATACAACTCAGGCACCTCAAACTTTCCATGTTGAAAACTTAAACTCACTGACGTCCCACAAACTCATCATAACTGGCAACTGTCATTCAGTTACCCAAACAGAAACCTTGGAGTCATTCTAGTCTCTGACTCTCCCTTACATTTACATCACTACAAAGGCTATTACGTTTGCGCCTAAATATGACTCCTCTATCTTTCAGACCTTAGGACTTCAGAATCTCTTGCCAAAATTACAGTGATCTCACTGCCACCAGTCCTGCTTTCTCCAATAGATCTTCCACTGCTGCCAGAATGAGTTTTTCTAAAATCCAGTGGAATATCTAAACTCCTTCTTGAAAATCCTTCATGATCTTGTATTCTCAAGACAGCTGAATCTCTTGGGTTGCCTCCTCCTTTGCCACTCCTACCAGTACACCTATCTTGTAGACATTTTTATGGTATACTACTTACTTCTGTGTTATTCTTCCCTTTTCCTACAATGCTTCTCCCCTAATTTTGCATTTGCCTAACTACTGCTTACTAATATTCTAACTGGAAAGACTTAATGTGACTCCCTCCTCCCCACTACTAGGTGATATGCAGCTCCCTTTTCTTCCTACAGCATGTTAAGGAAATCTTACCTCATTGTGACTCTTTTTCATAAGATAACAAATTGCCCAAGAGCTTTCATCTTTCTATCCTTAGCCAGTGCTAAGTACCCAAAAAATTAAACAAATGAGTAGTCTGGTAAATGGCAGAATTTGTTTTCCCTATAGCTTTTTTTCTTTTTATTTTATGTTTTTAAATTATAATATTATTGTTGTAGTGGGGGGTATACTGTGACATTTACAAAAGTTCTTACAATATATCATAGTTGAATTGAACCCCTACATCATTCTCCCCCTGCCTTCGCCCATCCCCACAGGTTTGAAATGACCTAAGAACTGGCATTTAATAACTCATCCTGGATTGACATTAAGTTGGATTTATGTAAATGCTAGGCAACCCCAAATAATTATATTTAAAACTATTCAACATTTATACCATAATTTAATGAGAAGTTAGTGATGTATTAACCTTTAGACTAGACGAAGTGTTATGGGGGTCAGAGTGGGATCTGACTTACCTTAACAACATCAGCTTTATGTTTTTCTAAAACTTGAAGTGTTTGGGCAGTACTGGAATCAATCACTACCACAAGCGAGTGGCATCCGTAAGCAATTAAACCTTGCCAGCCCCTAGCAAAACAGTAATGGAACAATTTAAATACAATGCAAAACAAGACTCAACTCCTCCCTTGCTGATCTAAGTAAATGGTAAATCTCACTCATATGTACCACCGTTAATAAAGTTATTTACACCCAAAGGCCTACAACAGAGGGCTAGCTATGCTTACAAATGCTTGAGATTCATTTCTCATTCAGACAGAACAGGCTCTAAGTGCATACAGAGCTATGAAGATGTATAAAGCAACTTCTGTGGACATATGCCTTGGCAATAGTCTCTTACTCAGCCTCCAAGAACAACACGCTTCTGTAACAACACATTATCCACAATGAGCCTGGGGAAAACTATGTGAATAGTTCTGGTTCCTCCAACCAAATTTAAAAAAAAAAAAATCCATGTGGCAACATTTCTGGTGCCACAGGTACTGGAAAAAAATTGCTTTATGTTAATCTAATTATTGTTTTTCAGAACTGCTGTGTTGTTTTATAGTGAAAAGATAGATCTAGTATGACCTGTTGTGGACAAGGACATCCTTTACAGGAGCCAGAAAAAGATAAAGGTGAGGACAGGTGCCTAGAACAGAGTCTGGGACACTGTAGAATGAGTCGAATGAATATAAGTGAAAAAGAGGGAGAAGAAAGGGAGGGGGTGAAAGAGGGGAAGACAGAAGAATGGTGAGAGAGGAGGGAGAAGAAAAGGGGGAGGGAAGGAAGGAGAGAGAGAGGGAGAGAGAGAGAGAGAGAGAGAGAGAGAGAGAGAGAGAGAGAGAGAGAGAGAGAGAGAGAGAACAGAAAGTGTACAGGGAATTAGGGTGGGGAGAAATCCTCCCAACCTCCAGGCTGGAGGTCAAGAGCGGGAACTGGCTGGTTAAGGTGGGGTGCGGAGAAGGCGCAGAAAAACACACGCAAGAGAAGGAGGGTAAAGGTATTTACATGGGGAATCAGCCACACGGAGCACTTTCTACTTTTACAATGACAACAAAAAAATGCACTGTCTAAAAAGAAAATCTGACGGTAGTGTGAGGGCGGCATCCCGTTTCGGCGAGGCCAAACTAACAGAGAGTGAAACCTCTGGTTCTTTGCCCTGCCCCTCACAAACTCCTGGCCGACCCCGGAATCCCGGCGCCCTCACCAGTCCACCGCCGCCTTGTTGTGGGCGTTGAGGGCGCCCGTGAGCGTGCGCGCCGACACCTTGAAGTTCACGGTGTAGGGTAACATCGCCGCGCCTAGTCCCGGCCCTTCCGTGCCGCCCGGCAACCAGGAAGCGGCGGACACTGCAGCGGACAAAGTCCGGGTAGCCCCGCCGGCCCCACTATCAGGTTCCGCCGGATCCAACGTTCCACCATCCGCGGATTCCTACGTTCCAAAGTTCCGGTGCGCACAGGTTCCACAGCTCCTGGGTTCCGCCCTCTCCAGGGTTCCGCGAGTCTGTTGGTTCTGCTGCTCCGCTCAGGCTGGTGCTGTGCACGGAAGAGGTGCCGCCTCTTGTCACACCTGTTTTCTTCAGGTTGGGAAACAGATTGCTTGAAATTGTGAAAAGCGAGGAATAAAAGTCCCAATTTGCCTTTCTGCCTTCCATCAGTTAACTTGGGACTGCTACCAGGACCAGGCACTGTGGTAGGAGCTGGGGATGTCAGGATGCAGAAGGCATAGACTCTGCTCTCATGGAGTTGGCACAGAATAAGTGAATGAATGAGTTAATCGAGTAAATTGAGTAAAATGAACGACCGAAATCTAAACAGTTCACAAGTACAGAGAACAGTCCATATCTGGACACGGAAGGCTCTCTTCTTAGGAATGGTAGCACTATGGCTGGGTTCAAGCGGCCCTTTGCCTGTTTCTTGGGCTAGCATTTTGCAGTTTCTCTTCCGCCACTCTCCTTCTAGTTAGACTCAGTCCTTTCCTCCTGCATAATTAGCACTTGGTTTACCATACTGTAGCACTTGCTTTTCAGTTTTAACCTAAATATAAACAGCAAGAGACAGACTCTCCAAAAACACTAGTAATTATTCGAGAAGAGCAGTTTTGTGACGGGAATGTGCATGCCATGCGAAGCCATTGGCATATTCAAAAAGATTGAGGCAAAGGGAAGGGTTTTTTTTAAATTTCTTTTGTTTAAGGATAAATTTTTAAATGTAAAAATGGGGAAGATAACACCAGCTATTTAGAAACAATAATCCTTGGTCTCAACGCTTTATAACAGGAGTGGCATCAGTTTGAGACTGAACAGTTGCCAGGTAGATGTCCTTATAGAAGTACTTTTTGTATAAGATTTCAGTTGCCTCTGTGCAAACTTGTAATTCTTCAGTCTTTTGTGGTAGTAAATATCAGGCAACCATGTGTAAAAGCCCTTCCTTCATAAACTCTGGACTTTGTTTACTTCATTTCCTTACTTCATCCCTTCCTTCCTTCCTTTGCTTTTCTCTATCGCTCTTCTTTCTTTCTGTTTGGGTTGATGCAAACAATACCATTTTGGTTCCGACAGCTTTCACATTTCTTCCACACTAGCAAAAATATCTGCAGATGTCTGTTTTTAGCCAGTACATAGCTAGATCTTTCATCAACAAAAGAAACCAAACATTGGTAACTTCTTTGTGTGCCCACCTTATCATTTTATTTTTTTGCAGTACTGGAGCTTGAACTCAGGGCCTTCACCTTGAGTGAAGTACCAGCCTTTTTTTGTGATGGGTATTTTCAAGATAGGGCCTTGTGAACTATTTGCCTGGGCTGGCTTTGAACCGTGATGCTCCTGATCTCTGCCTCCTGAATAGCTAGGATTATAGGCATGAGCCACCAGCGCCTGACACATCTTACCAATTTTGAAACAGTTTTCTCAAAAATCACTACCACTATCCTCTTACTTGTGGGAGACTGAGGCAGTAGAAGAAGGCCTTGACATGAGCATGGCTATGTCAAGGGCCTCTTGGCTGATAGGCATAGACCCAGTCGAGGGGAGGCAAGGTTCAGCAAGGCTGCCTTGCAAGAAAAACAAGACACACTGACCTGGTCAGGATAGTCTGTACTAAATAACAACATACCACAGCTTCTCTGTTTCTGCCACCTATGCAACTGAACCCATGGGAATTAACCTGTATTTCACCCCACTTCCTCATAGATGCTGTATAAATAAATGCGCTTGGAAGCAGAGGGGACTGGCATCTCTCATCAGGAGCGTTGGACCCACCAGATCCCAGCTTTTTTCTATGTCTGTCTTTGTGTCTTTTTCTTAATCCCCAGTCACCCACAGTCAGGTCAACAGACCTACTCACACTGGCCATGAGTCTAACTTGTGGAAGCCAGTAATGTTTCGGCTCTTGGTTGTCCTCTTGCATTTAGTCACTGTTGCTGCCTCCTTTTCTTTCCCTTGCTCCACAAGAGATATCTGAAACTACAAGTCTAAATTTTTAATCAGTCCTTTTTAAAAAAATCATTGCAGCCTCCTGTGGCAAAGATTGTAAATTGCCCCCTTCCTCATTCATTCCCTTGCTTTCATAATGAAAGAACAGCAATTTATATCTGGCACATTGTTACTCCATTAAATGGGTATATTCCCCCACTTTCCTTACAACTAGGCCAGGCCATGAAACTAAATTCTGGCCAATGAGATATAAGTGAAAGTTTATGTAGTGATGACTAAAAAGTAATTTTTCTGTGCTATTCTTCTTCTGTTTCAGTATTTTTACCCTACACTATTGTTATCTGTAGATATGTGTCTTATAGAGACCAATTTTTAGGTAACCATGATATATGGGAATACCCTAGTAGACTTAGAACTCCTTTCAGAAAGGAGTCAAATCCTACTCTGCCTTCCTCTCTAGCACCTAGCACCCTTCCTGGTATACAGCTGGTACTCAATAAAGGTTTGATGGTGTAGGAGTTCCAGGTGCTCATTGTGCACAAGGTCAAACAGTCACAAAGTGACAAGCAGGAGTCAGCGCAGCAACTCACAGATGGAGGTTGGCAGCAAGTAACCAGACTTCCCATCCCACTGTAGGTCAGGTGTCAGTCACAGAAGCTAAAGAAAAGGACCGCTTTTGGGAGACATAGGTGATTCTAAATCCAGAGCAGAGCCAGGTGTGGGACCCTGGGGCATTATCCCTCCTCCCCTCTCACTGGCTTCTCTCCTGCCTGCTCTTGGTCACATGGGGGCACCCTAAAGGAGGTGCTCTCTCATAGAATCTAAATCCAAAGTGGTGATCCCTGCAGGGATGCTGGACACTCCAGCCTCACTTTCCCTTCACCAGCCCCTTGCTAGCAGTCACTTAACACTTGGGTGAGTGGTCCAGGCTGCCCCAGACAGCCACCAGACTCACATATCTGTCTCACGATATACCCAAGAAGGTGACTTACAAACAAGCCAATTACTGCAAGTCTGGCTCCTACCTTTGAAGGATGCCCTTTTGAGGGTGAAGTGTAATGCTGAGGTGTTTCCAGCTGAACTAATCAGGGAACTCAAACCTGACTTTGCCATCGGCCAGGTTCCTCACATTTCTCTCATTAGCATGAAGGATTTCAATAGGAAGTAAAGAAAGAAAACAGTAATTAATCTTCCTCATTCGTGGGAGAATATAGTGTTTATAAAAATAAATTCGCTTTGGGAATCAGGCTTACATTTTGCTTATTTTTTTTTAAGGGAAAACCAGTAGGATTCTTGTAGAAAAGGTCTTCCTGTGAAAGCTGGTGAGCTGAATAACAATGTTATTCATTAGAAAGCAGTAACACAAATGGGAATTTGTATTTTGATGTTACATTATGCTATATATATCATATATTTTGTGTGCATATACATACAAATCACAAGTACAAATCAAAAGCACAAAAAATGGATGTACATATACAAAATTTTAGTTCTTACCCTAACTTGCCAGGTGGTGGGATGACAGTGTTGTTAACATTTCAAGCCTGGCCTTTCCCAGATGAGCACCCTCTGGGGGCTCTGAAGGAAAGGATGTGAGTTACTGCTGAGAATAGGAACAGAACAGGCCAATAGAGCAGCCATTATTGGGGACATTTATGTGACTGTGATTGAGGAATCCATTGGTACTCTGCTTTATGTAGCCCATACAGCAGCCTTTACAACATAAGATGTTCATGTCAGAGGTATACTTCCATCACAGAATTTTCATCATGGCTCATTAATCAACAAGAGACATAGAAAGTGCTTTAATAGGAACTTTAGTGACTGAAAGTGATGATAATTTCACAACATCAATTTTTAAACTGTGGGGAAATTGCCCACCTCTGAATGGTACCTTTTCTTCCAAACCAAAGTGAGCCAGGTGCAGTAAAATTTTCTTTCATTTCTGAAAACCATAGGAATTCCCAAGGGCCTCCAGGATCAGTGGCTCTCTCCTGGGCACTGCCCTTCTCCTCCCACCCCCATCCATCCTCTTCCCTTTCACAGGTGTTCATTAAGTACCTGCTGGGTCTAGCACTGCAGACACACCTGTAGTCCACATTTGCATCAGTGGTTGGTGGGGGCACAGCAGAGAAGCAGGCAGACACAGAGATGGCCTCGTGGAGACCACATTCAGCCAGGACAACACCCCTTGGCTGCCATGGCTGGGCCTTGTCTGTACCACTTCCTCTCCTGGGACATCTTCATCTTCCTCTGACTCACTCTTTCTCCATTACAACTGGGATTTTCTGAGACATCTTTCTGAAATCTCTAGTCAAGACTGATTATTACTACATTGTAGTACTGTCATAGTCTTTCTTGTAAAAATAGTGTATTTAGTGATTTTTGTGATTATATAAGTAAGTAGTATGTGTTTATAGGTGAAATATTGTTTAATTTAAAAATGTCTTATTAAAATGTATAAAATCTAAATGCAAAAATGTATAGAAGAGGATAAATAACTACTCATCTAATGACGATTGTTATATTGATATTATTTTTAAAATAGCTCTTATATGCTTGCTCCTCCAGACAGTTTGGGGACATGTATTCATGCCTTGCTCACTTTGTACCCTCCTCTACTAGGTCTGTATGTGTTATATAGTTGGCGCTCAATGCATGTTTGTTGAGCTGGACTGGATTCATTTATTTAAATAATTTAAATGCTACCAGAAAAATGACCAAATTAAATATTTTATTAGGTTGGGTATAATAGAACATGCCTGAAATCCAAGCAACTTGGGAGGTGGAGATTGGGAGGATAACAATTTGAGGCCAGCACAGGCAAAAAGTTAGCAAGACCCCATTTTGGTGCCTGTAATCCCAGAGAGGTGTAGGTAGGAGGTGTAGGTAGGA